AGACAACCCTATAGTCTAGTAAGGTTCCTTTAGTGTGTATATATATATATATATACGGACTACTAGTTACTATTGGATTGACTAGGATGTATACGTGTATCGGATCTCTGCTTGGACTGTAGTAGAGTAGAACTTGTTTGTGGGCCTGACCCACCATTATTTTTCAGGTGTTCGTCACGAGTAGAGGTTGTTCGTGCTGAGCAGGGATCAGTCTACTTCATTCTTCCGATGCTACATAGGAGTTCCTTTATGATTCAGTTTCCTGTTTTTAGATTACTGTCATTTGTTTAGTTTAGATTTTCTAGGGGTCCACACAGTATGGATTCCCGAGTTGTATTTTGGAGGATCAGTTGTATCAGAAGAGTTTATTAATTAATGGAAATATATTATGAGGTTTATTAGTAGATTATCATTTTAGTTTCTTGTCAGCATTTTATTTATTCTTCTTTATTCTTTTGTACTCTGTGTTCGTTTATTATCAATTTGTTTTGATATTCTCGGGTATTCGGGTGTGGGCCTGGCCAACCCGCATTCGGAAATCCGGGGGTATCACAGTATCCGAAGGGCTGTGATTGTTTCTAATGCTAGTGTGCCGTGAGCGTCGGTGCTCTTACCAGACTGGTTCTGGTTAACAAAGGTATCATAGTGTAACATATGCGAGGTTTCTATGTTGATAGTATAGAACGGTCCGTTAATGGCGAAGTAGCCTAGAATTGAGGTCGTAGTCCCATATGTGTTTCCAGTTGGTTCTTCTCCTTGGGTGTAGGGAGTTCTTTTCATCTTAGGTGAGATTAGGTGTTCATGGTTGAACAATTAGTGAGTAGCGTGTGATAGGGTGTCGGGTACATTTGGGTACGAGTTGTCAATCTCTTGTGAGAGCGGGATCGTTACCCTTTCCGTTTGTTCTAGTCCTGGCAAGGGCGTCATTTATCGTGAGTCTTATTCTCCCTTTAGGAGTTCTGTGTGTCTGCGGCTGGGTTGAAGGTGTGTGGTTTGTTATACTGTTAGAGTTCACCGGTAAGGTTTGGTTAAATGGGTCGACTCACTCCCACGGAGGGAGGTGTAGTCTTTGGTTTTGTGGTGCTTGTTCTGAAAGTGGTCTTGACGGGTGGTATGTGAGGCACGAGTTGCCGATTAGGGATGGTATGTTTCTGGAGTCTAGTACTAGCGGTGATGGCTAGGGAGTGTGTCATGAACGGCAGTTTGAGGATGATTAAGTGATGGAATATGTGTCATGTACTAGGATGTTTTTATAGGCATTTGATTTGAGCAGTGTCTTGAGGATAAGTGTCGATATTGCCTTATAATTTTGTGATTAGAGAATGTGAATATATGATTCTACTGAGAAATAATAGGAATGATTGACTCTAGTTTTGAGATGATCTCATGTATGAGATAGTCACATTGTGTGTTTTGACGAGGTAAGAATTGAATCGAATGATCTTAGGAAGTTGTTTACATGGTATAGGTGTTATGAAAAGATCAAAGATCTTATGCGCTGGTAGATGATTATGGTACTTGGTATCCTATTGCTATTAGCTTGTCATGGGTTGTGTGATTGAGGTATGATCGAATTTTAAAGCTGGTATGCGACTGTATAGTTGTTGAGGTTATGTAGAGCGACGAATTGATTAGAGAGTGGATCTCGTAGTTGTTTTTTGGACTGTGTGGGATTGTGTTTAAGGTTTGGACCTGAGGATAGGAACGGCGTCTGTGCTGAGATCGGATCGAGGATGAAAATGGCCTGGCCAACCATTTATCCCGAATCAATCCCTCTTTAGTACGATGTTGGATCAAGGGTCAATAATCGTTTTGATTTGTTAGCGACAGTGAGAGCATGGTTTTGCGTGTTGTGTTGTTGTGGCGGTGCAGATTCAAATGACTTATCTTGGGTGACGAAGGGTGTTAGATGGTACTAAGTGTTCGATAAAGGGTTTGCGGTACAATCATTGATTATTGAGTATCTCGTTTTGAGAATTTATGTCGAGGATACAAGATAGTACGTTTTATTATTCTGGTGACCCATGATTATGTAGTCATTGGGAAATCTGTTGTTTTGTTTTCTTGAAGTTGTCTAGTATGATGATTGTCGTATGGTGCAGTTAGTGGTCGCTTGTACCGATATGTGATGGTGTAGCTGTATGTTAGATGGTGAGTATTGGTTTGACAAGGACATGTAGATTTGAGGTTGAGCTTGATTGTAAGATGGACAGGGTTCCTCGGTTGGGGTCTAGTGTGTCCTTTAAAGGACGAGTTCAGATAAGATAATGTCATGTTCAGGGGTCTTGTGACCATTCTTCTTTTGGGCTTTAGAGCCTTTCTTGGCAGTGTTGAGTGGATCGATATCCGTTTTGAGTTAAGTATTGTGTAGAGCGTATCAGTTGGTTTTATGTTGCAAAGTTGTGAGAAATGAGTACCCTTATAGGGTGGTGAGCATTGGGTTTCAGTGGCAGTGGTTTCTAATTTCCTGGTTACATTTAGTGTCTAAGGCAATAATGTTGGTAAGTTTATGGTCTTGGGGTTTTGTGAGGTTTCTTGGAAAGGTGTGTGGCTGTGAGCCTCCTTCTTTAAGGAAGGTATATTTCGAGGATGAAATCTCTTTAAGGAGGGTAGATTGTAATATTACCAATTATATATATATATATATATATATATATATGTGTGTGTGTGTGTGTGTGTGTGTGTGTGTGTGTGTTTACTATATTATTTGTTACCGCGGGACCCACCACCATCATTTGCCATCACAAAAGGCCATTTTGACCACAAACACAGACAATTTATCTTTCTCGACTGGAAATCACTCTCTCCTGTAAGCTTCCTCTCTCTCTTTCTCTTTCTCATTTTACTTTTTCTTTTCTTCACAACTTTAAATTTCAATTACTCTCTCATCTTTTGGAGATTTTTGGTGCCGTTTGCGGCAAAACGGAGAGCTTGTCGAGATATACGCATTGATGTAACCAATTCCTTATTTGGCCAACCCAAAGAATTTTGAATTTTTGGACCCATTTACGGGTTTTTCTACAAACTGAGGTAGGAGTGCTCTAATCCACAATTTCTTGGATTTCTTGTGAATTTTTCCTTTAATTTTACTCTAAGCATGCTTAATTTTAATTATCTTGATTATGTCTGTTGTGGTTGTTGGTATTTAAGGTGATAAAGGCATGTTATGTGTTAAGTGAGCTTATGAATATGATTAAATTCTTGTGGTGAAGAAACATGCTTAGTGTTGATGTATTATATGCCCTATAATTTTAAATTGCTATTAAAAGTGACATTGTAGTTATGAAAATAAATGATTTTATTTTATGCCTTATGTAATTAAGTTGTTGGATTTGCGAATTGAAAGTATGTAAAATGCCATGATTTAGAAATATGAGAAAGTGATATTGTGTGAAAATTCATGTTTTAAACATGCCTAAATGATGTGGATGATATGTACAAAAATTTTATATTGTCATAGCATTGAAGGAATTGCATAATTCATGCATTGCTATTGGGAAAGTAAAGGGAAAAGTTTGTTTTAAAAACAAATGAAATTGTTTTTTTTTTTGGAAAAAGTTTTTGAAAAGTGTTTGTGAAAACCGGACGCCTAAGGGCACCTAGTGGTCCGTGGTGCTAGTGTAGTCTAGAGGGGACTAGAGATTGAGCTAACTAGGCCGGATACGACGTCTTGGAGGTGCCTTGTGGTCGTGGATAGTTAGTCAATCCTCCCTTCGTGACGCCTTGGAAGTGCCTTAGGTCAGATTGCACTAATGATTTGGAAGTTGAAACGGTAATGTTTCAGAAAATAGGGAGCGACATAGGCATGGCATTGCACTTTATTAGCATACATGGTATAATTGTGACTTGAATGGAAATTGTGGTTATTTTTGAGGTTGTGGTTATGGATTATATCCCCGGTATAGTATGATCCCGTTCTCTTGATTTCTATTCTATACATGGATTCATGAGGTCATAAGAGGTGTGTCTTAGGCACCTCCTACTGAGCTTTATGCTCATCCCATTATTTTAACATTTTTCAGGTTTGGGAAAAGAATGGGCGGGCAACAACGCATCGTAAATTAAGACTGGACTAGAACTCTTATTTTGTTGTCTTTTGTATAGAAACATGATCATGTACCTTTTATAAAAATTAAGTGTAACTTGTATAGTGTTGTAATGGTAGAATTTGTGTAAATAAATATATTTCATGGGTTGTAACTTAATTAAAGTGATTCTTTGTTTGGATGAGATGGACGAATGGGACATTTTATATGTATGTGTTGATTTTGGGGATATTGTATATTATTGCATTGTGTGTTGGGACATGATAGATTAGTTTTGAGGCCCAGTGAGGCCATTGCATTTTTTATTTTTATTTTTTGTATTTCAACAGGTTGTAGAGGGACTTTTTCTGTGGAGGTCGTGTCGAAATTTTATTTATGTTATTATTATTATTATTATATTTTTGGTATCATTTTGGGTCGCTACAAATTTGGTATCAGAGGATTTTGTTAGGATTCTGTGCGTGACATATCTATTGGATTATCTTGTACACATAAGAGACCCACATCAATGCATCCCAGCACTTCATTACATTGATATAAATTATCCAATGTTGGGTCTACAATCTGTAATCCTTTATTTTCTCTCCAAAATTCCCATGCTTGAAATATATACAATATCATAGGAAAAATCATGGTATGTCAAACTTTAGTATAAATCAAATAATTTTGACCAAAAAACTAGACACAAAATTAAGATTCAGTTAAAGAACTTACATATACTATAAGGCTGAGTGGGCGTTCAGAATGATAGCAACTATGATTCTTCTTCCCATTTGCAATCTCGAGCAATAACACTCTAAAGCTAAAAACATCCGACTTAATTGAAAAAATGCCCTGGCATACTCCGGAGACATGTAACCACTCTATTAGTAGTTGAGGAAATTGTTAGTACTTTGAGGACATACAGATAAAATATGTTTATGTGACATTACTTGTAAATGTAATATTTACTCACTATGTTCCGATAACCCTCTTTGTGTTTGCTGCAGATTCATTCTCCCCAAATATTCTAGCCAGGCCAAAATCTAATATTTTTGGGTTCATTTTTTCATCAAGTAATATATTACTGGCTTTTAAAGCTCTATGGATTATTCTCAATCTTGAATACTTGTGAAGGTAAAGAAGTCCTTGAGCAATCCTTTCGATGATGTTGAGACGATTTTTCCAATCTAAGGATGACCTTTTACTAGGATCTGTACAAGAAATTTGTAGAGTGCATATATATATTTATATACATGAGCTTTTGATTGATAATCTACATTATGGAAAAACTCAAATTACTGAAAATTACTAACCGAATAAGAAGGAATCCAGGCTTTTCTTGGGCATGTACTCATAGATTAGCAGCTTTTCTTCCCCTTCAATGGAACATCCCAAAAACCTAACAAGATTATTGTGTTGGAGCTTGACGATGAGTAAAATCTCATTCTTGAACTCCATTAATCCTTGTCTTGAACTCGTTGAAAGCCTTTTTATTGCTACAACTTGTCCATCAGGAAAGTTTCCCTGAGATATGGTAAACAATTATGATAGATATCTAATCATTTTGATAAGAGGGTCTCCAGAATTTACCTTATAAACAGGTCCAAAACCACCCTCTCCCCGTATCTGTCATATATAGAACGTTTCTCATCGTCTGACAAAACCTGTAGTTTGTGATTAGATTAAATGCTCAAATACTCCATCATGGCCATCAGACCTACCTTTGCTCAGTTAAGAATCATATAGCAAAATAATAGGTGTGAGGATCAAGAACTCTACCTCACAAGCATTACTAATCTCCTTAAATTTTGATTCTGCTCCTGGTTCTCTGAAGAAGATAAAGAAGAACAAGAGTTCAAATAAAGCATTTTACTAATAAAATTTAATGATAAAATAGAAAAAATAAAAAGATGATGGAACTTGATAAATGAAAAGGTTTAAACAAATTGCTCAAACAGAGTGCATAAAGACATAATGCCATCCAGCTCACCGTTTTATTAAATTGGTTACCTAGTTTGTGAATTGTTAGACGGATGTCGGGTTTAGAAGAATAAATAGTATATTTTATCTATATATGCACCTAGAGAGTAAATCTAGAAAGAGAACGTTAGACAGAGAAAGAGGAAGAGAAAGAAGGAAGGAGAAGAAGAAAGACCATTAGAGAAGAAGAACAAAGAAGAAGGAATTTAACTTTCGATCTGAAAGTTTAAGACAAGTTCTATGTTCTATACTTCTCCTTTAGATCTGTGATCTATATACCTCTAGTATAACTTTAGGGTTGATAAAAGGATTATTAAAATTGGAATCCATATTTACATTGATCTAGAACATAGGTTTTTAGGAGTTTATGTTCGTGGTTATTCTTGTTGTAAGAATTGATAAATTCATGGCTTAGATTTGATTTTTAATGGACTTCTATGTGTTAAAAAGATGTATTTTCGTACTTGTGTGTTGATAGGACTTAGTAACATGCTTTAAGACCCTTAACAATGGAGAACGGGACATAAAACGGTGTTTTCGAGTTTTATTCCGATACAGGGATCGAGCACCCTTCGAAGGGTGATCGATCACCCTTCTGGATGGAAGGGTGATCGATCCCCCAAGAGACCTTTGGACGAAAAAGGGTGATCGATTATCACCATCGAGGAATTTTTCATAAAATTGTTAAATTGACCCTGATTTGATTATGGATGGTCCTGAACATTAATTAGGGAATTAGGGATGATTTTATGTGAATTTAAATAGGCATGATTACCATGTTGCATACAACTTAAATTACTTAAAGATTTGATGAATTAATCTTTTAATTTATTTTAACAATTGAGATTAAATGTTTAGCATGAGATGCATTTGGAGAATGCTTACTTGACTGTAAAATAAATTATCAGCATGCTTAAGATTCAGTTTATGTGAGATACATGACGTAGAAAGCTTAAATAAATTATAAGTCATTCATATTATTTGATAGCATGATATTTTATTATATGATGTTATGATATGATTTTAATCAATTGCATATCTGTATTTTATAATCTTGAGATATGGTATATATATGTGTTAGGATTTGTTTGGGGACCAATGTCAGGATTTGGTTCTATGGATGCCATTGCTATGATGTGGCTTTGTTTTGGATTATGTGGATGGGCTGACTAATAAGCTTAGTCTCATATCTTCGTGTCAGGTTACAGAACCATGTAAATGACATGTCATTGAAAGATTATAGTGGATAGTTTATTTTATTGTTATGGATAGGATATGAATTTATATACTTATAGATATATGCCACGATATGAGCTTGAGGTATTAGGATCCGTGGTTAAGATGGAGGCGTGTATTGCCAATTGAGATGGGTAGCTGAATTAGGGATGTGTGTGCCCTGGCAGAATGAGGACTCGTGACCACCTTGATGTGCGATTTGCATTAGATACCCACTACATGGTTGAGTCTGTCTTGATTCAATGAGAGTCTTTAATGTGTATACTTATATATATACTTATCGTCTATGTAGCTATTGCATGAGTTAGTTATAGATATGTAATTTCTTCAGGTCTCTGTTTGGGTTGTTGTAGAAAGAACTTGTTGTGAGTTTTGACCCACCATTGTTACAGTTTTCAGATTCTAGTTAATAGCAGGGTTAGCAGTTGTTCGTGCAGATCAGAAATTATATACTACAAGAAAATGGGTCTTTAGTGGCAGTCAAATCCGTCACTAAACGCCCTTAAACAGTCACTAAAAATCAAAATCATCCGTCACTAGTTAGAGCGTCTTAAAAGATCTTTAGTGATGGTAAAAATGACCGTTACCAAAAAATCAGTCCTTAGTGACAGTATTTACCGTCCCAAATAATCCCGTCCCTAAAATTTATTAGGGACGGATTTACCGTCACTAATAAGTTGTATATTAGGGACAGTTTTTGGACTGTCACTAATACCTAAACTAATTGTGACAGTATTTACCGTCACTAATAAGTTGTATATTAGGGACAATTTTTGGACTGTTACTAATACCTAAACTATTCGTGACAGTATTTACTGTCCCTAATAAGTTATTTTTTTATCACAATTTTGACAACTAAAAACCGTCCCTATTACCCTTTTTTTTTCCAACTATGTTTGTATATATATATATATTTCTTCTCAGGTTCTTTATAAGCAAAACTCAAACTCTTAACTTAACCCACAAAATATTATACCGCGCACCATAGATAAACATCAAAATAAAGACATATAAAATATAAAAATAAACTTTAAACCTCTTCCAACATGTTCAAAAATCAGAGCAATATTTTAAACTAAATGCCCAATAGAATCTGTGTAGTTCAAAGAAAAAAAAGGTTACATACATAGTCATAAGAAAGCTTCATAATTTTGTACCAAAATATATGCCCAACAGAATCTGTGTAGTTCAAAGACAAAAAAGGCTACATATATAGTCATAAGAAAGCTTCATAATTTTGTACCAAAATATATGCCAACAGAATCTGTATAGTTCAATTAAGACAAAAAGGGCTAGATATATTAGTCATAAGAAAGCTTCATAATTTTGTACCAAAATATTTGGCTCCATCATATTGGTCATTCGATTTGTGGTTGTGGTTGTGGTTGTGGTGGTGCTCGCGGGTGGTTATGATGTTGCCACCGTGGTGGCAGCGGCTGCTGATATTGCCACTATGGTGGTGGCGGCTGTCGAAGGTGAGAATTTGGTGGCGATGGATGCTCAGACCTGCTTGGTGGGGCTGCTTCTTGTTGGGAATCTGATGAGGATTGCTGATATTGTTGAAACCATGGCAGTGACTGCTGCTGCTAAAGCATCTTCTCAATTGTTTCCATATATTGCCACAAACTTTTTACTTCCTCCTTCAGTTGTGCATTATTTTTCTCAGCAATTTCTGCTCTTTTACGAGAAGCCTCTTGATAAGATGAGGATGCACGTTGACGGTTTGGAATCACGAAACCATGTCCGAACCCACAGGGATATCCTTTCCTGATCCCAAGTTGGTTTTGCACTATCTCAACATCATTTCTCACTGGATTGGTACTATCAGAATTTTGACAAATATGGGAAGACTTATCCATCATTTCATCCTGCAATTGACATATAAGTCTTAGAATTGAGAATTGAGATACAATATCAGAAGCCCAACAGAGTTCCTATCCAAAGGAACTTCAGTAAGAGCCAAACAATCATTGATAAGGTCTACTTGTTGAAATACAACCATACTCAAAGTTATGCTTCAGCTTCTCGTGTTCTTGTGATTTTAAAGCTCTCACTTTCTAAAATTTGGAGGAAACAAGTCAAGTGGAATAGAAAATTGAAAGAACTGACAAACTAACAAGACGTAAAAATTATAGATCCATTTTTACAGGTGCTATCAATGAACATGTATTATGAAAAGCAGAGCTACCTGTAGATTGAATACATCTCCTGAAGCAACTTATAACTAAGAGATAAACAAAACTATAATTTGATCCGAACACGCTGTGTTTATGATTGAATATGCTTTTACAAAAAGGTCATATTTTCAATGTCCAAAAGAAGTTCAATTGTAGCATGCTGAAATATGAACTCGATCTGCTACAAACCTCTCAAAGCCTTAATTCCTCCTTGTACATGTAAAATAAAACAATCTCCCATCACAATCATCTTAAAGGCTCAGTTACCCCTTGTGTGTGTAAAATAACTAGGACTCTAGTAACATCCACCTGTATCTTTTTCCCAATAAAAAGGTAAACCCAAGCAACAAAAACAACAGATGAAACAAACTAAAAATTATCCCCAAAATTTGAAGGAAGAAATTGTAATGTAAACATGCATGTGTACAACACACCCACACACACAATTTATATGTATATAAGAACCTGAGGGTGCAATAGAATTTTAACTTTTAAGAGATGAGCTCAGAGACTTAATGGTGGAGTATAAAATATATATATATATATATATATATATGTGGGATGAAAAGGTTTCAGTGTGATGAATTGAATAGCTGCAGTAGGAGCTGCACAACACAAGTACACAACCATTTGGCCTTGCTAATTGCCAATCATTGTGCCTCAAAACTGCACACTGCTCAGTAGTAACCCCAACCGTACATATATGGGATGTTCGTTGCATCAATGGCGCTGATAAATTCCTGGTTATTGATGTGGGTCCCAGGAAATATTACTATTTCATTTCTTGTAAAACATGGCTCGAATATAGATTTTTTAGTCCAGGCTTTTTAAGAATGAATATGGATGTTACTAGTTTGTGCTTTTTGGACAGTAGAAAAAAAATACGAAATCAGGTAAAAGTCAAAATCAGATTGTTCGTTCTCACATAATTATTTTTATTATTTTCTTAGTTGTTATATAAAAAAATTGGTTAGAGGAGTTACTATTCTAGAGAGTATTAAAATTTGTAACTCCTCTCTAATAGATAGTTTTGTCTGGAACAATTCTATTTAGACCTTCAACTCTAACTTAGAATATTGGTTGGTCATGTACAAAGGCAAGTTTACTTTTGACTCAATGCAACAATTATTATGAATTTGTAGATATCTGAAACTCTCAAAAACATTAGCAAGAAATAGAGAAAAATATGACTGAATATAAATAAAATAAAAATACCAAGAACCTGTGAATAGCAATTCAGATTTTCCAAATCTATAATTTTTCCAAATATTACTGTCCCAAAGGGATAATTTTTAATTATATTTCTATTAAAAAATTTCACATTTCCCTAAATTTGTTTTAGGCTTTAGACACAGTAACCAATGTACCGTGCCCAAAAAACTGTTTTTGGTACTATCATATAAGACTGTCACTTTGTAGATGTCTCCACATATGGTAGTGTTGTTGGTACTTTACAACATCTTACTCTTAGGAGGCCTGACTTAGCATGTTCTTCTGCCAAAAGTGTTGTGCAAAGTGCCAGTGTGTGCCTCTAGCTAAAATAATAATAGGCATAGTTGGTTTACTTACGTAGTTCTGCTTAGCTTTCTCATGTACCCATCTAGTTTCTTTCCTAAAATGTCTCCTTGTACAGACGAATAGCGAGACCCTCCCAGTGACTTTGGACTTCCCCATCTTCTTCACGCTGCCTTTGTTGACTTTCTTTTTCCTGCAACACAAAGTAATAGTTAGCATTGGATAATATATGGTTTAGATGGATAATAGATTGAAATGATATAATTATTGTTTTATATATTGCGTACATAAGCATCATAACGTCTGACGAAAGACATCGATCTTGAAACATGTGGAATCTCATTCTTCGAACGGTTAGCTTTATTTCTTTGACTTATTTTCTGCATAGTAAGTCAAAGACTAATAAAAGTTAACAAACCTAAATAGCTAGTGAATCAGTGTATTATAATCAATGATTTCAAATACATAGTTAAAACAAGTAGTTAAGAATCCAAACCTGAAATTCTGGTGATATCCACCAATCGCACAAGTTTTTCCAAAGATCAGTATGAATACCTACATAAGGATGCAAGCGTGCATTCTCAATAGGAAGATACTTGTCAAAATGATTCTTCAATCTATGTCTATATTTCCTCAAACTTTCAGAAACTCCATTAGTTACTCGCTTAAAATCAATTTCATTGGCATGTGCATCCATTGCAAAGATCTCCTATACAATGAAAAATTAATTTATGTTAAAAGGAGCCCAATTGCAATCGGACACCTAAGTATCCAATTTGCTTCATCTTCAATCATGCTAAAAGAAAAGAAAATTCTTATATTGATCAGCGCAAATGGTGGTCTAAACCAACAAAGAGTTGCGGTAAGTTACTAAGCTAACAGTTTCATATTAACTTAGGAAAAAATTTCCGTTCTCTGATAATTTATACATTGAGTGGTAAAATTATTATCTTCTTTAGGGCCTTAGGCATATCATCTACCATGAAGTATCAACAAAATTAGTAAGAAAAAAATATGATAACATTAAACTGAGACTATTGTCTTAAAAATAGTAACATAAAACGTTTTGGTCAAATAATGAGGGCTTGACTACTTTTCTTGGCTAGCTAGCTGATGGAATTGAGTCATCATGAGTTCCCTTTGTGTTACAAAGTCTCCTCATAATGTTTATGGGACAAACCTAGTGGAAAAGTAGTTATGTGTGATGTGCCTACATTAAATTGGGCTGGTCATGTCGGTCAGAAACAAAAGTATTTTGGCTTATCTCTTGCAAAAGGCATATATATAGACATACACATACACATACACATACACATACACATACACGGACGCATACTGAATATAGTTGCCAAACTACCCTTTTCCTTTCAAGCTGTAAGCAATAAGAGTGAGCTGTTAAAATCTGGAATCCAATCCTTCCATACCCTGAATCTGGGCTGGAAGTCGAATGAATGAAGTAGCTGGCTGTCTTTCAATACTCATGGACCAAAACAAAAACATCCCCAGTAGTGTTAGTCCCAGTTACAGGGGTCATTTTCATTGTTAGTCCCAGGTATAAGAATGGATACTACCAGGCAAATTTGTATATTGTATTAATTAAATGTAGTTATATTCGATTGCATGAAATTGGAGGTGTACCGAATATAAGAGTATGGTTGTTCTTAGAATTTAAATTGTTTGAGTATTTAGCATTGTATCGAACGAAAAGAAAAGAATTCATTACCTTAAAATGGCCATAGCAAACCTGTCTCTCAAATTCTGGAATATCCCTCCACGTTTTGAAATTTAGTAGTGCTTCTTTATCTCTTGTGTGGATGCCAACTTCCGCCGTCCATAATTCGTTATTTTTTCCTACGGGTTTAATATACCCCGTCCCAAACTCTACTTGAACCGGAACATCTTTTCCATAGAGTCCCTTAGCTTTTTGTTGGGCGACATTCTTTGCTTTTCCACGCCCTTTTCGCCTTGGGCCTGAAAAATAAATTTGTTATCTTAATTAAAACATACGCATTTTACAAAAGAGTTTATGGTTAATCAATGATGAAGCATAATTATCACCTCCACTTGGTTGTGGCCTCGTTTCTGAATTACTACCGTCACCTTCCATACTAGGCTGTTGATTTGTTGAATTACTACCACCACATTCTCCATTCTGTTGTGCAGCAGGTAAACTTATAGTGGTGGCTCAGTTTGAGGAACGCGGGACCTTAATACTATACGCATTGGAGCCTCAGAGGTGTCCATAATTAAACTACCATGCTCCGGAATATAAACAAAAAATGTAAATTTAGTGACATCATTTATTAGTGTAATAGAAATCAAATGGCATTCTCAAAGGGAGAAGTATTCCTTTCATGGCAATATATAATATGCTAAAATAAAACTGATGAAAATAAAACACCATCAACAAATGTTACTTGCTGAAATTCTAAGTGTCGTATCTTCTTCATATGTGCTTTTATATACAAAGAAAAATGCATGCTGCCAATAAGAGATTTAATGCCAAACCAAAGCTGCAAATTTATGAAGCGCACAACCAAACAAGACTGATAATTTCCAGCACTCAACAGATACTAAAAGAGAAATTTAAAATAAAAGGAACTCAGTAAATAAACATCAGTAATGTAACTTAATAGATGACATAATGTATTAATCATAAAACCAAAAAATAAGGTCCATGCTCAATATTACGAAAGTTTCACATGTCATCCAAATCAGTATCATCTCGAGACAGTAATTCTAGTTCCTCATCTGAACTATAGTCAATGTCAGTTCCATCATCATTCTCGACAACCCAAAAGTCCTCATTAATTTGAAACTCATTAGCTGTCCCAGTACTAAGCTCTGCTCTCTCAAATATTTGCTAAAGCCTAAGCATAAACAACATGAATATTCAATCAGTTTCAAAGAGTTTACTGTATCATAATGATCAAAATAATGTGCTTGGACGTGTAGGTATATAACAAGCTCTTCAAAAAGAAATAAAAATCAAATAAATAAACCACAACGATATATTACAGAAAACAAAATGGCATCAAAAGTGACAAGAATGCAGATTCCCTTTAGAAATTGTTCACTATAAAACCACATAACACGCGCGCACACACACATGTTTTAAGTCCATAATGCATTAATCACATAGACCAAAAGTTTAAAGTGGAACGAAGACCAGAGAGGGTATAAGTATCAAATCTATTGAACTGATTTCTTTTAATTTTTGAACAAAACACATTGAGTCACATATAAAATTTACTCTACAAATAACACCACACACAAAATAATAAATAGCGAGATAACTCTAGTGTCACCAAGCAAATAAGCAAATATACAGGTCTAAGAAGCAACAGAAAAAAAAAGATATCAAAAATAAATAACACTTAGAACACTAGTAGAAGAGTAAGTAGTGACACTGAACTTCTGGACCTGTTGCAGGGAGTTTCTAGGGTGGGAAAGTTGGGGCATGACCTCCATGTGATATATTGTTGTCAACATATGAGTATATACATATACAGACATAGTGAGGAGGGGAGAGAAAAAATATTTTACACTCCTCCATTTAACATTTTGTATGGAGCAAGAGATCATGTGCGACTGTGATTGATTCTGAATTGCAGATTTCACTACCACTGTAGACGAATCTGAATTGTTGATTTCATTCTATATGCGTATATTGAAAGTTTTATATACATCAATACATTCAGTATATATTGGTAGTATTGAAAATAGGAAAGAGAAAATGACAAGCAGAGCGAGACTTTGTGAGGATGAAACCAGCCTCGTGACCTCGTCCGCGGTCAGGATCTCTTACTACATGCAAAATAGCAAATGGGATCAGTGTAGTATACATTTTTTCTCTTCTCCATGTGATATATTGATGTGATATATTGATCTATTTAAAACTTTCCCTATATGCATAAGGTGAAGTATACTCTTAATTCTAGTCTTACATCTAATCATACGACAATCAATTAATCAGTCCTTTTTCCTATTTTAAAAAACTTACCCATTTCTTAGTTATCTTTAACATTTGTATTAACTTATAAAAAAAATTTTAAAAATGGACTAATTGATTATTTCCCGTGTAGCTTCCAATATATCCAACTACTAATGTTTATTTATATGAGATTTTTAAGAACCATATAAAACTTGTCTTTCTGAAAGTAAGTGTTCCACAACTAATAATTTATTATAATAATAATTTTTTATTAATAAATATTATTATAGGTAAAAAAGTATATTATTGAAGAAACAACAAGGCCTAGAAACAATTTGATTCACATCTTAGGCTGTTTATTTGATTCCATTGAGCTTTACTTATATTACTACTCTCTGTCCATGGTTGTAACCTTGTGTGTGTGTTTATATATATATATATATATTAGAAAGGTATATATATTTGGAAATTTCAAATATGGGGGCATGACTCTCATGTGATCCATTGATGTATATGAAGAATATTCAAAAATCCATCATTAGTCATACCTGAGGTTTGAAGTTTTGATTGTTATCAATGAGCATAAGTTTTCGCTTGTGCATAAGTACTGTCTCACTTGGACCATTTGTTGGATGGGTGAGGGGAAGGTGTATGGTACAGTAGTTATCTGGTAATCTGGAGAAAGAAAGAGTTTTAAACACTTGGGACATACAGAAGTAATCTGTAAGCCATCCAATACAAGTGATGGTTAACAATGGCAACAATGAGGCAACGATACAGTTCTCACTTTGCTAACTGTGTCCTGCTTCTTTTAGACTTTTATTGCCTGACCAAAATGAGTGATTCAAAATTTTGTCCATTGGTATTTAATTAGGTTTTCTGGACTTCCTTTAAAACCTACAAGTCATGAAAATTAGTACTTGTCCTCATTGCTATCTTAAACAGAACATCAGCTCAGAAAAAGCTCAACATTCTTTTGCTCACTCTTTCGAAGCTTGAAATTTGGGGAAATCATAGTATTTTCCCAACAATGTTTCATGAACTTTAAATTAATTAGTTTTTGTTTTCAGATGATAGTCTCTTTGATCCATCTCACTTGAAATCACATTAATTTTTGCATTTGATTTTTACCATAGCAAAGAGGAAGATACAAGGAGGAGGAATTTGTTAAGAAAGTACAGGAAATGATGACGGAGGAAGAGAAGCAATGGATACCGACCGCACAAGGTCTTCCCTGGACAACAGATGAGCCAGAGGTGAGCCCATTATCTCAGGAAAATAAGAAATGAGTTTGGTTCTATCTTAAATCTTTTATATGTGTTGCTGTGTTGGAATGTAAAAAATATTCATGATTTCAGTTGGTTTACTATGTTGGAAACCACATGAAAACTGAATTGAATTTAATTTAACTAGTATAACATATGAACTAACTGAAATGTTATTCGAAATGTTTGATTTAAGACAAAGAAGCCAGGTGATCGCAAGTTGTTCAGGATTCGACCCAAGCCGATTTGGACCACAAAAACGAGGAAGACAAAGAAGATTCTTTGTCCACCATTGATGGACTGACTTTGCTGCCTCTCAATTGAATTGAATTAGATGTTCACCCTACTAGACGAAGAAGAAGCCAATAAACTGCAAATTATACACTACTAAGATCAATCAACAAAACCCACAAAAAGCAAACACTCAAGCTTTGTGCGTCTGAAGCATTCATGTTAATTATATGTGTATATGTGTGTATATAGTGAATGTATAAGTAGTTAGGGTTCATTAATTGGGAAATAAGGGAATTGAGCAGTGAAAATTACCGGCGGTGGGATTGATGTTGAAGACGGCTGAGAGTGTTAAGAGGACTCGTCAATAGGAGAGCAAAGGATGTCAGGAAAGATCGTTTCCGGCTACTGCTGTTGGGGGGCTCTTCAAGATCTCCATGTTGATACCCACCTTGAGAAAGAGAAAATCTAGGGCTACGACTTCAATTGAAAAGAAAAACTACCTCCGTCCCAAAAAAAGTGTCGTTAATGGAGAACTGTGTCAGTTCAATTTGTGAGAGTCACAGTTCTCTAAATGTGACACTTTTTATGGGACGGAGGGAGTAGATTGATTGGGGAAGACCAAACCTTGAGAGAGAGGATGGAAGGAGAAGATCGAATTAGGGCAAGAAACAGTCTTAAACGTGGATTACATATACAGATATATACTTAATTGAAAAGAAAGAGATCGATTGGGGAAGACCAAACCAGTTTGAGAGAGAGGATGGAAGGAAAATATCGAGCTAGGGCAATAAACAATCTTCAGACACAGAGCACATCGAGTATATATACAAGTATATACTTAATTGACCAAAACTACATCGTTTTGATAGGGTAGTCTTGTAAAATTACTTAGTAGTTAATTAAGGATGGTAACATTACCGTCCCAGAATCCTATTTTGATTATTTTTTTATTAAAAAAATGGTAAAGTACAGCCACACCCCCTGAGGTTTGACAAAAGGATACTCAGAGGAAATTTACCAGCTTTTTGGACAAAGACATCCCCTGAAGGTTCAAAAATGGACAAAGACACCCCTTTACATGAAAAATTAACCAAATTACCCTTTGACCGTTTAGGAAACTTTTTTAATTAGCAATTTAATAAATTGGACCAATCTACCCTCATGAATAATTTATGCATAAAAAAATAAATAAAAAAATAAGAGTAAAAAAAAAAAAACTTTATATTGTTCACTTTTTTTTTTTTTTTTTTTTTGTTATTTACTTAACAAATAAACCAACTTCTTAAACATGTAGACGTCTAAAATGATTTTTTGATTCAATACATATATTTCAAATAAATTATATTTTGTTATTACTTCTTTTCTTTTTCTTTTTTATTTTTAAATTAAGATGTTTAATTCTTTCATTTAAAAAAATTAAACCAATCTCTTTTCCTTAAAAATAAAAAATATGATACTAGTATAACTTTATGCATCTTAAATTATATATCAAATATTATGCATTTCCCAATAATAAAAAAAATAGGTACCAGTATAACTTTATGTATCTTAAATTATATATCAAATATTATGCATTTCCCAAAATAAAAGAAAATAGGTACCAGTATAACTTTATGCATCTTAACTTTATACATGCCTTTGTTTTTTTTTTACCTTTGTTTTATTTATTTTTTTTCCCTTTGTTTTATTATTTTTTTTTTTTCCTTTTATGTTGGGAAATGCATAACATTTGATATATAATTTAAGATGCATAAAGTTATACTGGAATCATATTTTTTATTTTTAAGGAAAAGAGATTGGTTTAATTTTTTTAGATGAAAGAATTAAGCATCTTAATTTAAAAATAAAAAAGAAAAAGAAAAGAAGTAATAATAAAATATAATTTATTTGAAATATATGTATTGAATCAAAAAATCATTTTAGACGTCTACATTTTGAAGAAGTTGGGACATTTATAAACTAAATAATAAAAAAATAAAAAAGTGAACAATATAAAGTTTTTTTTTTTTGTTACATTTTTTTTATGCATAAATTGTTCATGAGGGTAGATTGGTCCAATTTATTAAATTGTAAAGTTAAAAAAGTCTCATAAATGGTCAAAGGATAATTTGGTCAATTTCTCATGTAAAGGGGTGTTTTTGTCCATTTTTTAACCTTCATGGGGTGTTTTTGTCTAAAAAACAGGTAAGTTTCATCTGAGTGTCCTTTTTGCTAAACCTCAGGGGGTGTGACTTTACCCTAAAAAAAATTATAATTCACTTAGATAGCCTTTTGGGACAGTAACTTTACCATCCCAACAGGCTATTTTGATCATTTTTTTATTAAAAAAAATATAATTTCACTACAAATGGCGCTAAGTTTTGCGGCCACCAGATTGGAGGGATTTTTTTATTTTTTTGGACTTTTAGGGACAAACAGGTTAGGATTGTCACCAAAAAAATGTGTCTTTAGAGGCAGTAATTAAAGTCCGTCCCTAAAAAATAAGGTCTTTAGGGACAGTTTTTTATACTGTCCCTAAAGGTCTATCACTAATAACCCTTTTTCTTGTAGTTATATAGCATCATCACTCTTCCGGTGTCATCGACATAGGATTTTTTCTTCTAATTAGTTACTTCAGTTTTTATACATTTATTATTTTCAGTTATGGGATTTTATTAGGGGTTCATGTTTGAGGATTCCCGAGTAATATTATTTGGATTTTATTACTTATCTTTGAGGATTAAAGGGATTTATTTATGGAGGATTTATTCATTTATTTATTTAATAGTTTTCCATTCAGCGATATCATATATTTCTTATTTATCTTTTTGTATTTCGTGTTCGTTTATTACCTTAATTGTTTTGATTATCCCTCGATTTTGTACGTGAACTTGATCAATTCGTATTCCAAAATCGAGAGGTAATATTGCGAACTACTCTGGCGTTTGATTTGGGCTTAGTTCGTATTCCTTTATTTACTTAACGACTCCCAAACGTTCATTTTGAATTCTCGAGGGGTAAAAGAGTCAGGCTTTTAAGTCCCACAACCTATACTCTTAGGTTCGAATCCTCCTTCTCCCTAACCCCAATAAATACTATATAAATACGTAAAACATGATTCTTTCTTAAGACCCAAATGAAACATTAAGCCTAATCTAACTCAAATGAAGCATTAAAGCCCAATCAATCCAAATACTGCATTCACCCTAAAAGCCCAATAGCTTAAGTCCGCTATATATATTTCTTACCCTAAGTCCCTAATCTCAACATTACCACAGTTTTCTCGACGGTCGGAGAACCACTCCACTCCCGGTTAGCTCGATCATTCTCTCTCATCTTATTTCAAATCTGAATAATCCTCTCTCATTTTTATTATATATCGCGAGTAAATCTACAACTGGCTTTTGATGTCAAAAATTCGTGGTAGCAGAGATCGGTTGTGAAGATCAGCTCATCGGAAAGACTATGTACGATATATAAATATATATATACAAACACATGCAAAGATGCCTAAACATTTTTTTTTTCGTTTGCATCTTTGAATTCAGAGGAGTTTCGATCAGTAGAAATTAAGTTGTTCTGCTTTGTTTTTTTCTTCTATTTACTTCCCTTTTCTTATCTCAAAACCGACACACACAAACACACACAAATCAATTCAAATATTTAATAAATCATAGTGTCAGAGTGACCATTGAAGAGACGTCATTTTAATACGATGATTTAGGTTTAGAATTGTTCCTGTGTTAGTATCTTGAAATTATAGAGAACTTTTATGGTGCAACAAGCTGAATACATGCATAATTGGAGGTGAGATCGAGTTTCTGTGTCTGTTAAAAATACAAAATTTATATGGTGCAATAAGCTGCATACATGGCCTTCAAGATTGATTGTCATAACCAGACTCTTGTCAAGATATGCTCTGTTATATTCGTGAGCAATGACTCGATCGACAAAATGGATGATAAATAATTTTAACAAAAATTTAAAGCATTGTTCACGTAGTAGAAGATTCTGCTTCTGATCTTGAAGGAGAATACAAGTAGGGTCTCGGTGGAATTTCCAGGGCCTCTACGCTTCCTTCCAACATTTCCAACACCTTACTCATAGATGGCCTTTGTGAAGGATCAGTCTGTATGCACCATAACCCTACAAATATCATCTTCCTTGCCATTTCATTTTCTTCCTCTGCCATGTCACCCTGAAATCCCAGCTCTTCGTCTAGCTCAAGACGCTTATAAACCCAATGTGGAAAATATATCTGGCTAGTATGGCTCTCCCCGTTATCGACGTTCTTCCTTCCTCCAACTATTTCTAGTGTCATCATTCCGTAGCTATAAACATCGGACTTATGAGACACTCGTCCAAAGTTTCTACTGAACACTTCTGGAGCAATATATCCTATTGTCCCTCTAGCTTCCAATGTTGATATAATGCTCTCTTTCTGGGTGCACAGTTTTGCTAGTCCAAAATCAGATATCTTTGGGCAAAAATCCTCATCAAGAAGAATGTTGTGAGGTTTTATGTCAAAATGTAATATCCGTTGGCTGCACCCACGGTGCAAGTACTCAAGTCCTCGAGCTATTCCAATTGAAATTTGATATAATTTTTCCCAACCCAAATGCCCATTGATCTTCGAAAGACCTTCACCATATATAAACTTTTCAAGAGATCCATTAGACATAAACTCGTAAATGAGAGCTCTTTTGCTTCGTTCAATACAAAAACCCAAAAGAGTGACAACGTTAACGTGTGAAGTCCTACTAATGCTTGCAACCTCATTGATGAAATCTTCTCCATTTCCTTTGGATGCATCAAGAAGCTTCACTGCCACAGGACGATTGTCAATTAGCTTTCCTCTGTACACACAACCATATCCTCCTTGACCAAGTTTATCTTTGAAAGCGTTTGTCATTTTCTTGACTTCTGAATAACTATATTGTTTTGGAGACAGCGATCCATAGTTTCTAATAAAGGCCTCAAAATTCCGATTATCATTTATTTGCTTCCTCCAAAATATGATTGATCTATATGAAGATGTCTTTGATCGAGTGTAGCAAATAATGACACTCATTAGTAGTATTGAAATTCCGCCGGAAACAACTCCTGTAATTAGTTGGAGGTTAGTGATCCGATATAGGGAAAAAAAAATAATAATAAATAAAAATTAGAAATGATCATTTATGTTCAAAATTTGCAATGTAAGCATGGTATTGGTAATTGAACAATCTTAAGGGAAAAAAAACACTCTATTTTCAACTTTTTTAAAGGTATAATTCTTTAACTTTTAGAGTTAGAAATGATCCATTAAGCATTGATTATTTGTCATTTTAGTTATATATTAATTGACAAACAAATCATGATTAAAAATCACATTTCCGCTGGAAAAAAAATCATGTTTAAGAATCCAAAATTTGTTCTTAGAAAATGTGACTATATCCTTCCACTGTAAAGATCAGTTTGTGTCACTAAGCAATGTCAATTACTTTCCAAAATAGAAATATAAAAACTTATCAAAAATTGGGTCTGCTTGGTTTGGTTTTATGAAAACAGTTCTATAGAACTAAGGAAAACAAAAAAAAGTTTTTAAAAGAAGCATTTTTATAACTAAATTTTTAAAAAATAAACCCAGCAGTCCTTTAAATATTGATTAGTACTACGTACTTTTATTCAACGGCTTTATGTTTTGAACGTTTGCATGATAGTTTATATGATAGAAGCTCAATAAATTACAATATTCTATCATTTTTAATTATTAGAAAATCTAATGTGCAAAGATGTTAAAAAAATTATTATTATGTTATTTTGTAATCTAAAATAAAAAATTTCTTCACAAAAAGTAAGATTGGGTTAAAAAAAATAGTAGTAACATTATTTCTTATTCGCTTAAGGTCAAGAAATATATTGAAAGAAGACTTGCATAATTCCCTCTTCTTATTTCCGACTTAAAGTGAGTTTGAAATGGTAAAAGAGATATAAGTTGTAGAACTGCGACGTTCAAAGAGACTATCTCTCCGATAACAGAAAGTGGATGGAGAGTAAATATTATTTTTTATTAATGATAATTGAAGTGGGGGCATTTTTATACAATTTTAAAATCTTATATATTCAAAACTAACATAAAACAATAGTCACTGGGAGAAATTTTAATAATCACTTCTTTTTCTTTTTTTTTCTTTTTTTCAAATGAAATTAGAGTATGGTACCTATTATCAGCTTCACCCGCACGGTCAATTTCTCACCTGCAGCTGAACTACTACCTTGAAGGAAGTAAAAGAAACTGATCAATATAAATGAAATATCTTGAGCTCACCTTGGCTTGAACACCTTTGATGAATTCTCAATCAAATAATAAATACTAGTATCATAAAAAATAAAGACAGCAACATGGAACATTGTTAAGTGGCAGGTGTAATTAATAATGAATTAGTGGATACCTCTTAATGATTGTTGTTCAAACAAAGAAGACTGTAATAGAAGATGGAGATGGCAAGTAAAAATAATATAATATGAGATGAAGTTATTAAAAATAACTTTAAAAAAATTTAATGTATAGAATTAAGATAATGATAGCCACAACAAAAAAGATGATGAATAGATAATGAAAAAAATAATAAAAAATTAGATGAGACATAATTTGGAGAAAAAAATTAGTCGTAATTAGTTGTTCACAGTGTCAATATGAAAGCAACATGCAGTCAGCCCATTCTTTGAGATAAATAATTAAGGTAGCTAGGTGGTCTGACCAAAGTCAATTAGGATTTGTTTGTTAACTAAGATGGAAAAATGTTGAGAACTTGAGAAGCATTAGGACAAAATCAGACGTAGTGAGAGACAATGGAGAATATTAAGTCAAATATATGATAATTTTAATTTAATATTTATTTTATTTAATCACTATATAATAAAAATAAATTATATGTTCAAATTATGTAAGCCACAAATATAAAAAAATATCTTACACATGCATCCATAAAATGGCTAACCAAAACTAGTATGAAGGCATGGACTTGGAACAGTTGATAAGTCCATTGAAACCTACTTAGTCAAATTATCAATTTACTCTTCACCCACTCAAACGCGCAAAACGAGTGCTTGACCATAATAAAATCAAACGCAAAATTACTAATTAGTTTTATTTTTCAATTTTAAAGACCGATAAGTCCTTTTAAGAATGTTTTGTTTCAATATTACCCTTTCTTATCGAAATGGCATTTAGTATTATCTTTTTATTTATTGAAATACTAGCTATAGCCTTAGATTTTTTATTTCAAATCTTGTATCTCTAATTTTTAATTAGTATTAGTTTACAATAACAATGAAATATAGTTTTGGCCACCAAATTAAGGATTTAAGAAAAATCAAATCAATATGACCCTGCCCTTGACCATAATAAAATCAAAGGCAAAATTACTAGTTAATAGGATTAATATGACCCTGCCCCTGCCCCTCAGAACTTCTCCCGGTATACTGCCACGCTAAATTAAAAATCGAGACAACAATCTATAGCTATCATAATAATTACACAAATAATTACTTGTTCACTTGAATGAGCAATTGATGGATAAATATACCTAATTCAAGGACACTTGTGAAAGTTGCAATTGATTGCACCTTCAAGGACACTTGTAAATTCCAGGACTCTCTCTCTATATAAAGTTTAATTTGGACAATGAGAAACGTAACTCTGGAGTTAACGTGGAATGACTATGAAGAAGTGAAAAACAAGGACGAAAAGCTTAGACCAGCCAACAATCTATAGTTATCATCAACCTTATCTTCTGAATATATGAGTTATAGCTAAACGTACAAGATGGAGCAAGAAGATTAGGGGGCACATACCAGGTCCATTACAGTCTGACGTATAAGGTTGATCCGAGCAGTAGCAAGAAAACAAATTCAAATCATTACATCGCCCACCGGATTGCACACATTGGCTGCAGACTGCATTATTTGCTTGCCACTACAACCCAAAACCACCCTCAAGAGCTGCTTCAAGAAGTGTTGAAGGTGAAGTAGTGCTTGGTAAAGCTAAAGCAGTCGTAGCTGCTGATTAGGAAACTTGAACTATGATTTCGTTACTGAATGTTAACCCAGGAATGGTACTGCTCCCTGATGAATAGGACTCGTAATAGGTGTTGTTGCTATTACTATTCGCTGGGCAACTAAACTTTCTAGGCACTGATTGCGTTTGGCCAAAACTCAAGGAGCAATCATACAACAGAGTCAAGTTGGCAATATCAGAAGAATATCTGAAGAGATTCCAATCCAAGGTAGCATTAGAAAGATTTGTTGGACAAATATTAGTCCATAAATCGTCTCTAGCAACTGTGAGTTTCTGTGCTGTGCTGTTGATTTCTAGCACTCGGAATGTTGTTGACTGAATTTTGAGGCGTGTGACATCTCCTTGGCAACTTAGGTTGAAACCTAGGTGGCCACAGTACTCGGGTCGATTCTCTCCCGAGAAAGGATAGCTAATGATAGGCAAAAATAACCTATCTTGATCAGCCGCCAGACCTCTTCGACATATTTCATTATCAGAGATAAAGATTTTTCTCGGATAAAAATGATGACATTTCTTATCCAGGATAATGAATGACGACGTGGTTCAATATGATGAGGATAACCTTGACACAATTTGAGGAAGTCAAAGGAGTTAATCTTATCCCCGACAAATCTGGTAACAAATGATCTCCTCTGAGCTCGCACAAGCGGATCTCCCGCGGGATCAATTTAATTCTAATCAACAGCCATAAATAGGGCACCAAGCCGTTAAAGAAGGTATGAGAAAAAACCCCTAAACATAATATACATAATTATTATGTGATACGATTACAAGTACTAATTTGATCGTCGGAGGGTTCTCAGCTGGCACCCCACCGACGCAATTCGAGATGACATCTTTTGTTTTGTAGGTAAACGCCGTCGTTCCGAGTCGCGAGGATTTTCGCATCAACAGCTGACGCCGTCTGTGGGAACGATTAGTTCTCTAAAGAAATAATAATCCTGACACAACTTGGCCAGAACGGCAAGGCGAAAGTTTCTGATCATGGAAACCATCCAAAAGTCATCAGTTGACAATGGGTTTCCATATTCTTATATAAGGACGGATCTCTACATCATGATTACCCGTCCATCATATTGGGAGCAAAACGGTGGATTGCGTGATGCCACCCAGTGTACGATAACAATAATCACATTTTGGCACGTCGACCCAGGCAGTCCAACGTGGTATTTTCCATCTAGCGATGCTTGGTCCCCTCACTATTAAGGTTTGGTCGTCTATGACCAAGCTCTATCTCATATCTGGCAGTAGCCAACTACCAAAGCCTGATCATTGAAGACTAAGGCCTGGTCCTTCTGCGCCTACATAATTGGTCTCCACCCATCAAGAAGATCACTACCAACAAAGGGGTTTCTACCTACTAGTAAAGCCTCTACCACTAAGGATGTCTCTAGCAACGGAGTCTCATTACTTCGTTCGTTCGTGCAATCAGGGTGGCCTTCTACGTCCAAGAATGTATCAAGGCCTTCAGGTCCAAGGAGGTCTAATGTCCCTCCAGATCCCATGAGGTCTGTATTCCCAAGGAGATTCCTAAGTGAAGGGCGATCATTGGACCCAACGAGGTACTGGCCACCAGACCATCATCTGTCAGCCGTTAGTTACCACGCCCCCATCCACTAGGCATCATGCCAATCGCTGGACACCAAGCCTCCACCTACTAGACGACAGTCGTCATCTTTCTTCCCTTGCAGGAATTGCCTATTGACTTCAGATCATGCAGAATTTTGGATTGATAATCCATTGCAAGTTAATTTTCAGTAATCATTTCTAACACAATCTAATGTTTTTAGACAACTGTAAATTATTGCAGCACCAGGCACCCCGTCCGTTGTATCAACATCTATAGAATGGGTCATCTCCCAAAATCCCACTATCGGGGGCAGAATAGTGGGTCACACGATATTAATCGTCAATCTACATATTAAGGGAAGTAAGTTTTATCATCGCGGTGTTGTATATAATTAAAACTTCCTTCATTTACTAGAAAGACAAGACGACTACCTCTCGTATTGAAGAGGTCACCCTCCTTCAGACTACACCTCTTTCCCCCATAAGGTATATAGGGGATAGTAAATGAGTATCATGTACTACAAGGACCCGAGCTGAATAAATCGCGTAATCAATATCCCCGTACTATAAGGGATAATAAATGAGTGTCCTATATTATAAGGACCCGGGCTGAATGAATCCTGTAATCCATATCCCCGAACTATAGGAGATAGTAAATGAGTGTCATGTATTATAAGGACCCGAGCTAAATGAATCCCGTAATCCATATCCCCGGACTATAGGGGATAAGTGTCATGTATTATTAGGACCCATGCTGAATGAATCATGTAATCCATATCTCCGTACTATAAGGGATAGTAAATAAATATCTTGTATTATCAGGACCCGGGCTGAATGAATCCCGTAATCCATATCCCCGTACTATAAGGGATAATAAATAAATGTCCTGTACTAAAAGGACCCGGGTTGAATGAATTCCGTAATTAATATCCCCTTACAATAAGGGATAGTAAATAAAAATCCCTTACTAAAGGGATGAGCTGAGTAAAGTTCATAAAGTTCAATTCCCTTATTAAAAGAGTGACGACATGAGTAAAGCTAGTACAATTTATTCTCTTACCAAGGGAAGATTACCCAAGGGTACCAAAACTAGTACCCAAGGGCAGAGCACCCAAGAGAAAGATTACCCAAGGGTACTAAAAATAGTACCCAATGGAAGATTACCCAAGGGTAACAAAAATAATACCCAGGGGCAAAGTACACACGGGTACTAAAAATGGTACCCAAGGAAAGATTACCCAAGGATACCAAAAATAGTATCCAAGGGTACCAAAAATAGTACTCAGGGGCAGAGTACCCAAGGGTACTAAGAATAGTACCCAGGATAGAGCACCCAAGGGACCATTACCCAAGGGAAGAGTACCCAGTGAAAAAAAAAAAAAAAAAAAAAAAAGGTAGTTACTGTTCATGGGAACAGTACCCGCGGGTACTATTCCCAGGGCAAGAAAAAAAAATAAAATAAAATTGTTACTGTTCATATGAACAGTACCCGCAGGTATTGTTCCCAGGGCAAGAAAAAAAAAAAAACAAAAAAAAAAAACAAGAGTTGTTGTTCATGTGAACAGCACCCGTGGGTACTGTTCCCCGGGCGCAAAAAAAAAAGAAAAAAGAAAATGACAGTCCCAAAGCTAGACGAGCAAGCTTGGGAATGGGGGACAACTGATAAGGAAAAATAATCTACCTTGACCAGCCACCAGACTTCTTCGACATATTCGGTTATCAGAGATAAAGATTTTCATCGGATAAGAATGATGACATTTTTTATCCAGGATAATGAATGACGATGTGGTTCAATAGGGTGAGGATAACCTTGGCACAATTTGAGAAAGTCAAAGGAGTAAATCTTATTCCTGACAAATCTGGCAACAAACGATCTCCTCTGAGCTCGCACAAGTGGATCTCCCGCGGGATCAATTTGATTCCAATCGACAGTCATAAATAGGGCACCAAGCCGTTAAAGAAGGTACGAAAAAAAACCCCTAAACATAATATACATAATTATTATGTGATACGATTACAAGTACTAACTTAATCGTCGGAGAATCCTCGGCTGGCACCCCACCGGTGTCATTCGAGATGACGTCCTTTTGTTTTGTAAGTAAACGCCGTCGTTCCAAGTCGCGAGGATTTTCACATCAACAGCTAATATTAGCAAGGTTTCCACACCCAAACAACTAATCACTACAGGTCGTGAATCAGTCATTATCGGCACACACAGATCTCGGCGCATAGATTAAGATGAAGATCATGAAAATGAAAATGAAGATGAGCAAAGAGGGGCGGATCCAGCATTTCTAAATGGGGTGGGCTAACCTTGAATTGGGCTAACTATGATAAAAGGGATGGGTTGAAGCCCACTTTCGCCTACCTCTGGATCCACAGGTTGGGTAGAGGTGGGGATACATTTTTCTTAGGGTGACGAGCTATGAAAATTTTGAAGCTACCTAAATTCAGGAGATGGAATACTCCTCAATTACTGAAGACTTTATTTCTCATCAATTGTCGCAAGAAGAAGAAAATGAGCTTTGACTAAGGCTAGTAAAATATTTTTTTATTTTTTGGTGTTTGGTTGTCGTAAAATATTTAGGAAGAAAAAAAATATTAAAATTTAACAAAAAATAATTTATCCATCAATTTTCGACAAGTTATTTTACATGCCCCGCCCGATAGAGTCGATCTCAATCTCAACGTAGACCTTTGCCAAACACCGACAAAATAAAAATAAAAAAAATATTTTATCTAGAAAAAAATATATTTTTCAAAAAAAATATTTGACCTAAAAAAATATTTATTTTTTAAAAAGAATATTTTACTTCGAAACAAACAAGGTATAAGTTGAGCAATTTTGTACAAGTTTTAAAAGATTTGAAGCTTCTAAGTAACAGCAGATTCGTTCTGTTCCGACTACTTTTGACATGTCTTTTCGGCCACATTGTTTGTGGGACTCCAATTTTGTTGAAAAGTTGGAAACGCAATTAAGAAGAAAATTCTGCTTCGGTTGAGAATGGTTGATTTTTTCTTCTAATTTATGGGGATAGTTTTTATTCTGTTAAATGTCCAATTGCTCATGAAAGTTGCTAATAGCTGTAAAATATTTAGTATTTACTGCTATTTTTTGTTTTTGTTTTTTGGTGCTATGTTTGAAAGCACCGAATTGATGCTTAGATTTAGTATAAGGGGAAATTTAATAAATTTAGTACATTTTCTCCTATTCAAATTCAAGGTGCCCGACTCTGCACTCCCAATATATTCATCTTTCAATGAATAAAATAGGCTTATTTCTACCCATTTTTTGTTTTGCTAGCTGTGTCTTGTGAGTTGTGTGAGAGGGAGTAAAGCCTTTTTTTACTACTATGTTTTTTTCCATTTAACTCTTTGTAGATTCTTATCGCATCTCGTGCTGCCTCGAACCAGTGTTTTTTCTTTTTTTATTCTTTTCTATTTCATTCCATGAAACTACCTACCCATACCTTTCCTACCAAGTTTCCACTAGTCAATCTTTTTCCCTCTCTACTACTAAATCTAAGCATCAATGAATAAAATAGGCTTATTTCTACCCATTTTTTGTTTTGCTAGCTGTTTCTTGTGAGTTGTGTGAGAGGGAGTAAAGCCTTTTTTTACTACTATGTTTTTTTCCATTTAACTCTTTGTAGATTCTTATCGCATCTCGTGCTGCCTCGAACCAGTGTTTTTTCTTTTTTTATTCTTTTCTATTTCATTCCATGAAACTACCTACCCATACCTTTCCTACCAAGTTTCCACTAGTCAATCTTTTTCCCTCTCTACTACTGATTTGTGTTATAATAAACTATGGATCTACTTAATTTAATAAACACCACGCATGTCAGAGACAAATTCAACTTAGAATATACTGATGAGAGAGAGAGAGACGGAAAATTCAACTTAGAAGATGCTAACGAGTGAGAGAGAGCTGGAGCTGTAAACATCTTTGACAAATTTAACTTAGAAGATAATAATATACAGATTAGTGGTGAATATCTAAAAAGCCTGAATCGTGATATTCGTTTACACTTAATTACAGATGATAATAATCAAGAGAGTGAAAACAGAAATAGAAGGCGAAAACAAAACAGGAATAATTAAGCAGAAATGTCTCTCTCTAATTTTCTTCGTCTTTCCCTCGAATAGAAATGTATCAGATTGGGGGTGCCTTTAGTCTTCATACAAATTCAATTGATGGATAGATATACCTACTTAAATGTGAAATCCTCAAAACTATTAGTCACTTGTAAACTCCAGGACTTCACTATAAAAGTTGGAAAACCAGATCCTAGTGATTTTGAACCATGAGAAACCTCTAGAGTTAGCTTGGAGTGACTATGAAGAAGCAAAAAACAAGGGAGAAGCAAAACACCAACAACGATCAGTAGTGATCGCGGGCCTTAGCTTCTGAATATATGAGTTATATAACTAAGTAAACAAGAGCAACAAGAATTAAGGGCATGCACATACCAGTTCCTCTTTGTGTCCCGTTACACACGGATGTATAAGCTTGATCCGCACAGTAGCAAGTAAACGAATTGGAATTCGAATCATACCCACATCGTCCACCCGATTGGACACATTGGGTGCAGGTTGTATCAATATTTGCTTCCCACTGTAACCCAAAACCACCGTCAAGAGCTTCTCCAATATTCTGTGAAGTTGGAGTGCCGCTTGAAAAAACGTCAGAGAAAACATATACTATGATCGTGTTACTGCATGACACGTCAATGCTACTGGTCCCTAAATAGTTGGTGCTGTTAGTACCGTTCACTGTGCAACTAAACTGCTTCTGCAGTGATTGCGTTTGGCCAGAAATGAAGGGGCAATCATATAACAGAGTCAAATTCACTGAATTGGAAGTATAGCTGAAGAGGTTCGGATCCAAAGTGGTATTATAGAGATTTATTGGACAAATAGTATTCCAGAAATCGTCTCTAGCAACTGTGAGAGTATGTGTTGTATTGTCGATTCTCAGCACTCGGTATGTTATTGACTGAATTGTAAGCCGTGTGACATTTTCTTGGCAACTTAGGTTGAAACCTGGGTGGCCACAGTACTCGGGTCGGTTCTCTCCCGAGAAAGGATAGCTAATATCAGTAAGGTTTCCACACCCAAACAACTTATCACCACAGATCGTGAATCGGTCATCATTAGCACACACAGATCTCGGCGCGTGGATTAAGATGAAGAACATGAACAGAAAGATGAGAAAGGAGGTTGGGAAGAGGTGGGGATGCATTTTTTCAGAGAGAGAGATGAGCTACGAAAATTTTGAAGCTACCCCAAATTCATAATAGGGGATGGAGTGTCCTTAAATTCAAAGCCAGGATGTGGACACTACTGAAAATTTGATTTATCATCAACAATCATAACAAGAAGAAACTGAGCATCATTGATAAAGTAGAGCACATTTGTGGAAGTTTAATTTTCAAATAAGTGGAAGCTTCTATTTGAATGGAAAAAGTTGACATGGTCTAAATAAATACAAATCTAAAATAGCAAACGTTTTCTGCACGGGATTTAGATAGATTATGAACATGCATTTACAACTTGAAACTGAAAGGGTACCAACAAAATTTGGAATTCTCGGTGGGCTGGTGGGGTAAGCATATCAACCTCTCAAGAAAGCAACTGATTTTGGATTTTAATATTAACACCATGATCAAAGTCAAAAATATAATATATTTTCTTCAAGTGTCAGATTCTATACTCCTAAACATAACAAAGCAAAATTGGTGTTTGATAATTTTTATTGGAATTTGAATAGTATCATGCTTGTTTTTAAAAAGGAGGCCAAAATTGTATTTTCTGTTGTTTCCACACTGTAGTGATGACAAAACAAACTTGCATAATGATGTAAGAACTTTCACAATGGATCACAGAAGAGAAACAGAGTTAGAACATCAGGAAAACATGAACTAGAAAATAACTCGAAGATCAGAATACCCTTGGTCTCAATAAAATGCTTTAAAATAACTTGAAATTTTATGGACTAATGGCAAAAGATTAGAAGTCCTTTAGAGGTGATGTCAAAGTCTTCTCGCAGGGGCCTGGTTGGTTGGTGTTGTATTTAAGTTTCATTGACTAGAATTTCCAGTAGTAGTGGGCCAATGTAGAAATGAAGACCACTATACACGTCAGACAAATTCAACTTGGGAGATACTGATGAGAGAGAGAGAGAGAGAGAGCTAGCTAGCTGTAAACATCTTTGACAAATTCAACTTAAAAGATCATGATATGCAGATTAGTGGCGAATACCTAAAAAGCCTGAATCGTGATATTCGTTTACACTTAATTACAGATAATAATAATCAAGAGAGTGAAAACAGAAATAGAAGGCCAAAAACAGGAATAATTAAGTAAAAATGTCTCTCTAATTTTCTTCCTCTTTCCCTCGAATATTAATGTATAATACACAGTACAAAACTAACCCGAAAAACTCCCTACGACTACAAAGCAGCTGCAGGTAGCTAGAGCCATTGAGATTTCACTGAAAATTCCTGCTGACAATTCCAGCAATAATGTAAAACTTAAAATATCACTCAAACTAAGAAGGTTTAACGGCAACTGCATATGTTACCACCCTCACTTCTTACTATCTCCTACTGTTAGGAGCTTTGGCCTTGTTTAGGTTGGCAAGTTCTTCAATAAGCTTTTTCTCTTCACCACTTAGCCGTTTCGGAATCTCAACTTGGACTCTCACCAACTGATCACCCCTCATATTACTTTTGTTCAGAAACGGAACGCCCTTTTTTGCCATCACCAGTGTCGTTCCTGGCTGAGTACCAGCTGGGATTTTCAGATCCACCATTCCATCCACTGTAGGAACTTTCATTGTGGTTCCTAAGATGGCATCAATGTAAGTAACCTTACAAGTAAAGAGAATATTGGTGTCATCACGTTTCAGTACAGGGTCTGGAAGAACTTCAATTGTCACGAAAAGATCTCCAGGGGGACCCCCTCTCCTTCCTGCATTGCCTTCTGACCGGACCCTTAACCGGCTGCCAGAATCAACCCCGGCGGGAACTTTCAGGCTAATACGCTTTGATTTCCTTACTCGCCCATCACCACCACACGTGTTGCATGGAGTAGAAATCTCCCCCGTACCACCACAAGTAGAGCACGTCATTACCTGTTGGAAGACACCCAGTGGGGTCCTTGCTGATGAGACAACTTGCCCTTGCCCACCACAGGTGGTACATTTGGATGGCCTGGTCCCAGGTTTGGCCCCTGACCCATCACAGGTGCCACAGGTTTCAAGCCGAGTTATTTCAATCTCCTTCTCTACTCCAAATACTGCTTCTTTGAAATTCAAGATCAGATTGTAGATCTGATCTTCACCCTCTGTGGCCCTGTTCCGAGAACCTCTTCCACCCATGTTCATACCACCCATACCTCCCAAGCCATCAAATAATGACTCGAACAGATCAAAGGGGTTGCTGAAATCCTGTCATGACACGAAGTGTGAATGTGTAAAATTGAGATAAAACACAATCTCGCCATTTCTTTTCTTTTTTAGTAAAATGAAACTTACCCCCGTGCCCATGCCAGCACCTTTAAGCCCCGCCTCCCCGTATCTGTCATATATAGAACGTTTCTCATCGTCTGACAAAACCTGTAGTTTGTGATTTAGATCAAATGCTCAAATACTCCATCATGGCCATCAGACCTACCTCTGCTCAGTCAAGAATCATATAGGAGAATAATAGGTATGAGGATCAAGAACTTTACCTCATAAGCATTACTAATCTCCTTAAATTTTGATTCTGCTCCTGGTTCTCTGAAGAAGAGAAAGAAGAACAAGAGTTCAAATAAAGCATTTTACTATTAGAATTTAATGATAAAATAGAAAAAATAAAAAGATGATGGAACTTGATAAATGAAAAGGTTTAAACAAACAGATCAAACAGAGTGCATAAAGACATAATGCCATCCAGCTTCGCAATTGCAAAAAAATTGGCCCCACTAATTGTATTTTTAAAGAACGAAAGGGTTAAACACAAAGTGGAATAAATTGAAACGTAACAAGGGGATAATAATTAGAGAAAAATATTACAACAAAAACAATGGAAATGGAATGCCAACATAACTAACTCATTGTAAAAAAATGGCGGGTTATATTAATAACAAAGCCAAAGGAAACTTTGATAGAGACCAAGGGAAAGAAATTTATTAAAAAAGAAACATGGTGGTGGAGTGATGATATATAACAAGCAATAAATAAATAAAAGAACAAGTTTCATAGAGTGGCAAAAAAAGTAAAAAACCAAAAGGATTTAAGAAATACAAATAATTAAAATATGGAGCTAAAAGGATGGTCGCTAAAGTTAAACAAAATGCATTAAATAACTTCTATGAAAATTTAGAAACTAAAAAGGGTGAAACATCTATAACAAATTAGAAGAAAAAAAAAATAGAGAGAGGTAAACTGGAGATATGAATCAAGTTATGTGTATTAAGGATATAGATCAAACAATATAAGTTAAAAATAAAAAATTAAAAAAAGATATACTAGAAAGATAAAAAATTACTTTCAACACGAACATAAGAATGGTAAGTGAAATTGATAATAAGGATGTAAAGAACACACTTAAGAAATGTGTAATAATAAGGTTGCACTCCCTCCGTCCCAATTAATTGTCCATCTTTTCTTTTTGAGCTGTCCCACAATTCTTGTCCCATTGAAAAGTCCAAGTAAAAGAAGGGCATAATTTCATAAATACCCTTGAAGTTTTCAAAAATTTCCAACTTCATTATATATATATATTCAAACATGAAAGGATAACTTGGTAATTTTAGAAGGGATAATGCATCAATTACATGTCCCCTTTTTAGCTCTACTCCCCAAAAGGGACTACTAATATGGGACAAAGAGAGAGGACCTGATAAGTGTTAACTGTTAAGAAAGTTTATTTTTACTTTGTGGGTAGTTTAGTTTTTTCCCTCTTTTAGTTACTCAGCCCCTCCTTTAGGGCATATTATTTTTCATTCTTGTAATCTGTACAATTTTAATATTGATTATTGAACATACAAGATAGTCTTCTTCCCTCCTTCAATGTGCAAAACTATCATCCGTATGAAATAGCAAAAGATATCTAAGGAAATATCTCATGGTCTATGTTGTTTTCTAAGGACATAATTTTACAGCCTAGTTTGGTACGGGGGAATGGAGTGCAGGTGAGAATGGAATGAGAATGAGAAAGGAATGGAATAGTCATACTCATTCTAGTGTTTGGTTTCTAACATGGAATGGAATGATTATTATCATTCAAGTGTTTGGTTAAAGAATTTTTTTTTCAAATACCCCTCTTTGACTCACATTAGTTTTGAAAACAATTAACTCAAAAAGGGGGTGGAAAAGTGAAAATAAAAAATAATTTTTGAACAATTACAAAATACAATTATTTAAAATCAGAAAAAAAATCTTAGCTCAAATTTTATACCAGCAATTGATGCACCTTGGTTAGAACCTCACGAGCTGCGTCTATGAAACATTATTCAGAAAACTATCGATCAAATGCTTATTGTTTATATATATATATATATCAACCAAGCAAAAATTAAAAATCACCTACCCATTTGTCAATCTAAGTTTTTCCCATTACACAGACATTGATGTTCCCGTCCAAACTCCCAGATTAATTTCTTTAGAAAAATTGTTAAAACAAAATGGAGGAGCTTCAACAGAAGCCCCATGCTATCATGATCTCATACCCTCTACAAGCTCATATAACCCCGATAGTCCATCAGGTCATGAAACTTGCATCAAAGGCTTCACAATCACCTTGATCAACATTGACCCCACCACCAAATATGCAAAGCCCAACCACCTACTGCTGGCGCCAGCAAAGATGACCTCTTTGCCAGAGCCTGTCAATCCAGTATGGACATCTGTTACGTCACCGTCAGTGATGGTCTTCCGCTAGAGTTGACTGATCCATCAATTTAGAGAAGTTATTGGAGGCTAACCTTTTTAAAGGATTCTCATTACCATGTTCTTCAGAATTCTTTGCCCATGAAAAAAATAGTGAGGTATTTTAGAGAGAGAAACGAGTTGATCCAGTGGAAGCAAGGATAAGCGACAGAGATAGAGAGAAGTGATATAGAGAGGTGCTAACCATCTACTTCAAAAGCGTAAGCTACTTCAACACGCCCCTTCACGTGTCCTTTTGGTCCAACATGTTTTTCAAATTTTAAATCAGGTTGACGGTGAGGTTTGAACAAAGGACCTACTCCTGCTCCGATACCATGTTGTAAATAAGAGCTAGAAAATAGAAGAGAATAATTCTTAGAGGGCACCGGACCTTCAATGTGAGAACAAGATGCAGAGCAGAGGTAGGCTGGTGTGCAGAGGAGATGATGGGCTGGTGTACGGACCAATGGCACAGGTTAAAAGACTAGGAAGAGGAATGGTGGAGATTGGGTTAGGAAGAGAAATGGTGGAGATTGGGTCTCAGGAGCATTTCTATCTTCCCCATCCTAACCCAGTGTCCACCATTCCTTTGCCTAGCCTTTGACCTGTGCCATTGGTCCATACACCAGCCCATCATCTCCCTCTGCATCACTGGCCTACCTCTGATCCACATCTCTGTTGTTCTCGCATCGAAGATCTGGTGCCTACTAAGAATTCTTCTCTTCTATTTTCTAGCTCTTATTTACAAAAAGGGAGAGAGATTTGGGTAAGAGATAGAGAGAGAAAGTAGATAGGCAAGGGGAAGTTTTCTTTTGGCGGCAGAGGCAGAGCCACCGCTTGGAGACGAGAGACAGTGAAGACAGCAGAAGGTCTCTAGGCTTCTTGTGTTATGTGTGAGAGACCTGATTGGGCTATTTGTCTATAATTATTTTATTTAAGCTTGGTTGGGAATGGAATGGGCATTCCATTGTTCATAAAGAAGAATGATTTATTGGAATGAACATTCCAAGGGAATGACTTTTCATTCCCTTGGAATGCCCATTCCACCTTTAATATAACACACCAAACAAAATAAAAGGAATGAAAAGGTGGAATGGCCATTCCATTCCAGTCCATTCCTGGTACCAAACTAGGCCTAGATACTTCTAAGGAAGCCTTAACAACAAAGTTTGAAACACGGAGAAAGACTATAGAAGCAAAAGTCCTAAGACAAGTCATGAACGTTTGAGGGGAAATTTGGGAACAAAGTCTGTTAGTGATAAAATTGGAGAAACTAAACTTAGATGATATGATCAAATACAATGTAAATCCGAAAATGCACCAGTTAGAAGAGGAAAATTGTTTGCCTGGAAGGCAAGTGACAAAGAGGTTTCCCAAAACTTATATGGGATGAAGTAAATTAAAAATGATTACAAAAATAAAAATAAAAAATTAAGTATTAGAGGAGGCATGGTGTATTACAGGATAGAATGAAAAAAGAAAATACATGTGGCCAACCCCATCATTTGGGATAAAGGCAAGGATGATGATAATGAACAATTGTATTTGAAACTATAATTTATGGCTAATTTTTGTGACTATGGGGATAAAACAAAACACATGGAGACAAAAGTCAAATTATCGTGTATCAGCGTAGTTTAAATTAGGAAAATTGTGAATTACTGAGAAGATATAGGGGTTCTTTATAAATTTTGGTGAGCTTGATAAAGTTCAATACACAATTAGGAAGGATAAGGAAACTAGTGGTGCAAATCAAACTGCAAAACAAGAAGGTTGTAGAAAGTCACAATTGACTTGACATTGTTCCACCAGTAACTATGTAAATTCCTTTAGGAGAATGTGACCCGATTTGGCTAATTGAAAAGTATATTGAAGGAAAGATTATGAAATTAACATATATGAGAATATACTGATTCCCAAAAAAATGGATAATTTTGCACAGACTAGCAGAATTGACATAATTACGTAATTAGCAGAAGAAAGCAATGTAATATTAAGATAAAAAGACTCCACTTCTAAGTTCTAATAGCGAATGCAACATAAATGAGCAACTACGGGAAAAAATTATGCTCTCCTTCCTGTAGGCTCCATACAATGTAATAGTAATACTTGGGAGCATTTCAAAGGGATGTAGCCTACAGCGTTGCAACACGATGTAACTGTCTTATTTTCCTGAGATTTTCCTACTTTTTAATTTCATAACTGCTTCATTATAACATAATAATATAATTTTCCAAATATAAAGTGAAAAAAAAAAAAAAAAACATTACCAACAAGAGGAATTCATGCATCCATAAATGCCACTTAGTGAATTTTAATTTTGCACCAAATATTAGTTTGTTATACTCCCTCTGGAGGCTATTCAAGCTCGTTCATTTAGCTAGATAAGACAAGCTTGAGGGTAACTTTCAAGCTCACTTATTAAATGAGTCATGCTTGAGAGTAACTTTCAAGCTCACTTATTGAATGGGCCAAAGCTTGGTTCTCAGCTTCATTAAGCACAGAATAGGTTTTGTCCAACCTCTTCTGATTTCTACTTTCTATGTACATATATGAACGTTATATATATACATATATATATATATATATATATCTATAATAAACTGTAGCCTCCACTCCACTTCTAATATTTAATTGAACTACTCTCTTGGGCAACCAAAACAGATGGGTCCTGGTCTGGACATTTGCTTGGAAACACACAGAGAGAGAGAGAGAGAGAGAGAGAGAGAGAGGTATGACTATGATACTTTCCCAGTGCTCTTCTCCAACTGTTGAATTTTAAAATGCTGCTTGACTCAGTAACTTCAAACCATGGTTATCATCCACTTTCTTTTGTTTTCCAATACCTTTCTTCTTTTGCTTTCTTTTGTCCTTTTATTCAATCACTTTTCCCTTCTGATCTGTAATCTGTGTGTGATATATGACGATTTGGGGAGGGATTTTCACATACTTTCTAGGATCTTGTTTCTGCTTAGATATAATATAACTGTAAATTAAGGTCCTGATAAGAGGGTTGACCTGAACATAAACTTCTTTTTTTCTCCCAGATCCAATATGTACATAGAAGCTCAAACAAGTCGAGCTCAAGCTTATTTAAATATTGATAAGCCAAGCTCGAACAATGCTAGCAAGCTTATTACACGTATGATTCGATCCCAAACATCACCATAACTTGCCCGAGCAAAGCCCAAACACTTACCTTTGGTTCGGCCAATTCACAGCCCTGTGGCTTTCACATAAAACCACTTCAACACAACACATCACCTAAGAAGTATGGACATTTTTATGAAGGTGTCGCATCTATGTCGGGCACTTTCACAAACACTCCTGGCACATGCCTGGCATTGCATGATTCTATTCATAATTTAAAATTAAATTTTCATTAATTTGGAAACTTCGCCAACACGTCCAAGACATTTCACTGACATTCCAGAACATACAATTCTTATATAACACAAAACACATCTAAGAGTAGTCACATCCAACAATCTTGAAAACAAATTAAACTCACCTTCAAAGGGTCCAACTTTTTTTTCTTTAAGAAAAATAATATTATACACATGGTCACAAGAAGTAGCGCATGCAATCACTTTTTCATATAGGTCAAAAATTTAATTGTAACGATGAAGTAGGGGAGTGGTATATATAATATAATAATTTTTACAATATTCACATGAATCACATAGCTTCAGCTTCTAAATTATGTAACTCGTAGTACAGAAATTAAAAATCAATTAAAGTTCCATAGCTGTCTTGTTCAATAGATGTATATATATTAAAAAGTATATTTCTATATAGTCACGTCCATGTTGTGTTTGTATTCGTGTCCTACTTTTTTAGGATTATATGTGTGGACATGTCTGTCATATAATGTCAGTGTCCTACTTTTTTAAGATTTAATGTGTCTACAGTCTTCTTATCCGTGTTGTATAGTGTCCATGTACCATGTATGGGCTTCTTAGAGAACATAAATCGCATCCAATATCGATTGAAATACGTGCATAACAAATGAATTTTTTTAATAAGTTTTGACATCTCCCAGCAAGAACAAACTTCTACTGTCCTTTGAAGGCAAGGAGACTCCTATTGGAGCACTTAAGCGACTAAGTCCTCTATCCTTTGTTCTCTTTTTTGTTGGGTTTTCGGGAGAAATTGTAGAACTATGGGGGAGACAGCTGATTTTTGTACTCATTGAGAGTTTAGTGGCTTTTTGGCCTTGTATTGTTTCTTTTGGAATAGACATTTTATAAACTATTCCTCTAACTAAAAGTATCAAAACACATTGTCCACATCACATTGCTAAAGCAGAAACATCTCTAGATAATCAACTCCATGAGTATGTGAGGAATCTGACCCACATTCTCACCCGCCCGCCATTCATTTTTTCTGAATCTCAACAGTATTGTCTGCTTTGGTGCTCACAGTGGACACTCTTTTATCCAACTTGCTCCTTTCACTCTTTCTACCTAATGAGTTCACTAGTATTTTCTCAAGAGCCCCTCTCAAGAACTCTCAGCCCATTACAAATCCAGAATCAGCAAGCCTTAATCCCAGTTATTTGCTGTCAGCTTTATGGATCAAATAACAACCCATACAAGTTTAAGACTACTTTAGAATGGGCTCTTAGCCTTAACATCAATCCTGTGAGAACAGCTCTCCAGTGGAGCTCTTGTCAATCCCCGCTTCATTTGTAGGAGTTGACACTAGGTCACAAGATACCACACCTGCCACTAATATTGGCTGACAGCAGTCGGCATTTAGCTAAAGCTATCTAATTCTACAAATGAAACAATTGTATGCCTATAATTCTAACCAAGTATGACACAAAAACTAGACATGGACATGAATTTACAATAGAACATGGATATGTTGGTATTTCAAATCCAAAGAGAGTATGATACCAGCACGGTGTGGTCACAATAAAGTGGAAATATAAAAAATTATCTATTAACACTATCATACAATACAACTATAAGACCTTAATTACTTTTCTAATTTTTTTACTGAGAATTGCATAATGCAAAAGATGAAGTTGTGCAAATACTATGATATTTATTTCGTATGTACTACTAAACTTCTATCATATCTCAATACAATTAAATCCTTGAAATATACTAAGAAGTTACCATTAAATGTTTGACCTGTGACGGGAATGTATATAATGGCAATTTTTCATATAAAATTGAAGACATTTTAGGTTGTGTTTATTGGATTTCCATGATCGTCAGACACGATTCCTTTATGGATTCCCATGTATTACGAACACATTGATGAGGTGTCAGACACAATTTATAAAAGTGTCAACAAAATGTCAGTATCCAACACACATCCGATCCAGGTATGACACCTTAGAAGAGTCCTTACATCTTGGAATTCAAATTTCCATTTTCAGCAAGTATTAATACTCCTGATAACTGGAAGTGAGGGACAGATGTCACGTGAAATCACATGGATTCCTGATTGAGTGGTGTAACAATATAATAGAAAATTTAACTACTGATTGAACCCTAGGTTTATTCCAACACTACAAGAAAACCGATGGAGAACTTCATTCTAAGGTCTAAACATGCTAACTGAACATAACATATAAGCATAAAAAATAAAATAGAAAAAAGTTGATAAATCCTAATAACTAAACTACATCAATATCTTTTAATTGGATGGACAAAAAGTTGGAGACCCGAGTTTCCTTGGATTATTCTTGTGAACAAGGTCAAGAGAAACAAGCATATGCGTTAACAACAGCCCTGCCATATGGAAGTGGCATTCAAGTTGGCTATGTCGATTACTCTGGTATTTCCTTTTCTAGAAGAAATGGATATCCATTAAATAAAGTACCAAAATCAGAAGGTGAAGGATGACAAATCATTCAAATAAACACGAGAGAATGGAATTGAAAAAACAAGGACCACAAAGAAAATACAACCACAATAGCTAACACTTCTTAGGGCAAACAAAGGTACCCCCATAAGATTGGACAGATGTGGCTCCTCCCTAGGCCATACTATCCTACTCTCAATTTTCCTCTCTAAACATCGATTAATGCCAACCTCCAGAGAAGTGGAAAAATACACTTTCTCATCCAATTACCAGGATGAGGGCGATAACCCCTCTTCAAACGAAGCACCATAATAAAATAACTGCCCTCAATTCAACTTCACTGTTCACAACATAAAAGTCTGCATATACCCCACGTACGTCCACAAAATATAGTTTTGAATTTTTTTTTTTTTTTTTTTTTTGATAAGTAGATATTTATATATATTACAAAAAACTGTTACATAAAACTAACATTTCAAAACTTCAATGAAAAGTTCTTCATTTTTTCTGCTGCATCACCCAATCTACTAAAAAATTGACACCTACCACAATTGGAAAGACAACCACATCTTCATATATAATTCCTACTAAAATCTCTTTTAGTCTTATCTATCCTAAATTTTACAATTACCCTTGACTGCTACAAAAACTCAACTATGCATCACTTTGCTGCCCAAAGATTGTTAGTAATTAAATATGCACATATATTTCTCTGCATCTTAAGTAGATTTTCAACTTACTTGTTCACGTCGGGATGGTAACTCCTGGCAAGCTTTCGATAAGCTGCACATGAAAGAGAATACTCAGCAATACAGCATGAGCCAAAGAATATATTTTTGGGAAATGCATATTGTTATGGTCAACAATAAGTTAAGATGCAAAACATTTAATCTAGGGGAATAATGGATAAGCATATAACAACGTCATTTAACCCACCACACCACCACCACCACCCCACCCCCCCCCCCCCCCCCCCCCCTTCCTTGGTGGTGAGACTAATCCATTTGGATACCTGCAATCACCCGCTCATTGGTAATACTCTTGCCCAAGCACACGCTTAATTGCTGAGTTCCAACAATATTACGCACTTTAACTAGAAAATAAGTACACAGAACTTCAAGAGAATGGAGGATATATGATAAAAAATACAAATAAAAATTATTTACAAATTGCTACACAGAACTATAATAAGAAATGTTTAGTACAGTCCTCACTAAAGATTTCTTATTATAGTTCTGTGTGACAACTTTGTAAAACAATTTTTAATAATTTACTTTCTTTTCTTTTTTTTTTTTGTGGGGGGGGGGGGGGGGGGGGGGGGAAGGGGTTGTTGGGGGAAAGAAATGTTCAGTAGGAAAATCAATTCTGTCACATTGTAGCTGATGTTTTTACAAAAAAAAAATTAAAAAATTGGTGCCTTTCTGCCTACCATGTTATTTCCTTTTTTTCTGACAGTTAAAAAAATTAATTAATTAAAAATACAACAATAAACATTTCATGAAGTTAGGTTTCTTTTTCTTTTCTAGAAATTGTAATAAAGTTTAATTCAAAAAAATAAAAAACAATGTTGTTTCTATTGATCTTTAAAACAAGTGATGACATGGAAAAATTAGAAAAAGGAATCCCTTCCGGCCATCAAACTCTCTTAATCCATACCTTACAATAGTAATCTCTCCCATCATCCACCTGAGCCTCTCTCTCTCTCTCTGAAGATTTTCTTTTTTTTATTTATTTGTTTATGTTCTTGCATCCATAGCCACAATCTATCTTAAGTTCTCCACTTTATATCACAGGCAAATGGATCTATTGTAACATTTTACAAAGAAAACCAAGAAATTGCACAATTTTTCTTTGTTGATAAACAAGTAAAACAGCACAATTTATAGGAAGGTTCAAGTGTGTTAAGAACAATTGCTAAATCGCTCTCCAAAAGCATGAAGTAGAGTGACAAAGAATGTTTGCAAATAGAGAGAGTTGTGCACCCATTTCAACGGGATTAAAGAAAGTCCCCGTAATTTGCAGATTTATCCCTAGTGGGTACTGGATAGTTTACAACAACCAATGAGAACTGTATCAAAGATGTTGCAGAATAATCTAGTAGAAAAAGATCAAGATTGTACTCACCACTTTTGATCTCTGATTTGCTGGCATTTTTTGACACCCCAAGGATAGAATAGAAATCCTGTGGGCACAAGACGTTAATCCTAAAAATATGCATGCTGGCATAACAAGAAGGAAGCCGCAGCACCAAGAACAAAAATTCATAATTCAAATAGTGAACTCACGCTATCCGCTCTGACAATGAGACGAGCTCCCCTCCGGTAACAAGGATTCTTAGATGGCCCTGTATTAAACAGTGCATGCATTGTATCTTGAGAAAATATGGTTGAGCCTGGTGATGCCAATGCCCTTATCTTGCTTGAGACGCTACACAAAACAATAATGCATATACAGCGTTATTATCTTGCTCGAGACACTACAGAAAACAATAATGCATATACAGCATTATTCTTGATGAAGTTTATCTGATTTTTTGCATGGATATGAGAAGTGTAGACCAGAACATGTTCAAAGCAGCAGACAAGGAGTACAAAGGCCGGAAGAAGATGAACCCATCTGGTGATCAATAAAGAGACATGCCAAGACCCAAGAACAGCCCCCTCGTCAATGCACAATGAAAGTTCCCTCACGATAGGCAAGGACCTTCGGCACATGCTTTTGTAATATGCTCCAGGTAACAACCAATACAATTTGTATTTTTCCTATATGCTACTGCTTGATATCTATATATCATAGAATCTTATGTAGTGGACCATGTTAGACATTTGGTTTGTGATTTAGAGGACCATAATGTATTGCAATATGTTGAAGTGTTATGTTCTTCACTCTAACACTCCGTTTGTTTTAATGTAAAATGTTTTCCATGAAGAACATCTAACATGTAAAAAAATGTTTCTCTTTTATTTTCTGGTGTTTGGCAACAATGAGAAAAAAAGAAAACTAGAAGAAAAGAAAGTCTCTCCCTCTCTCTCCAATTTCCCTCTTTTTATCAACTTCTAACTGTGCAGATCCTCTCTCTCCCCAGCATCAAAGTTCTCTTATCCCCACGAGACAGCCTCTCTCTCTCCTCTTAATTCCCCGTGGAAACGGTCTTGTAATAAGTGATCGTGATGTGTTGTATGGGTGCTTAAAGGGTCAAAAATGGCCTAGAATTCAGATCTGTAAGTCATTTTGGCTATTTGATGTAAAAATATTATCCTTGTAAAATACTTTTTCAATTTTTAAAAGGTAATCAAACCCTGAAAAATGACTAAACTATTTTTCAGAAAATATTTTACGTTGGAACAAACAAAGCATAAGAGATGGACACATGTCATGGAAAGTAAAGTAAATCATATCTATGTGAGAGTGGAGCGACCTGGACCAAGAGGTGGAGCAAGAAAGAAGGCAGCAGCTAGTGCCCAATGGAACATGAATTCTGGCTCATGCTTCTAGGTACTGATCATACAATTCAGTTAGCTTCCCATTAACGCAGATGGTATGACATACTTATGAGGGCTCAGTGCCATAAAGCCTATATGGATATGAACTGTTAAGCCCAATCCTACTATGCAATATGCATGCAGTACCACATATGCCTAGAGATACCTTTCTATTCTCTTCCAAACTAGCATAAGCATGATCCAGCTATCCCGGAGGCAGCCCAAAGCTCTTTCTCAGCCCCACTCTATCCATTGAACCAAGTGTTCTAGGTACTGTTACCTAGAACACTTGTCGTTATGCTACATGAAACAAAATGAGAGTGGTGAACTGGATACTCTAAATGTGGTACAACGGAAGTAGTCTTTGTGTATCAGATATATAAGGAATGTGATGAGACGGTTCAATTGTGCGGGTGGTTTTCCTTTCACCCATCGATAAAAAATGAAAATTAGCATTACCAAAGGTGTGCATGAATTTCCATATATTTGTGTAATTAATTATTCCCTTTGTCTCACAATGCATATCTTTCTTTCCATTTTTCAGTTTTTTATTTTATAAGTAAGATTGTATTAACTATTAAGAAGCGTTCAAAAGGGGAACACATCCCTCAAAAACTACATAAGGCCAATTAGGGCCTCTAAACTCTCAAGGAGTCCAAAAAATCAACTATCTCATCCATAGATTTACGATTTCTCCCTAGAACCCAACAAAAAAGGGTGCTAATAATGGAGAACTTCGGCGCGCTAATAGGGGTCCTCCTTTCCTTCAAACGATCTCCTATGTCTTTTAAGCCATAAACACAAACAGACGCACAAAGGCGTGACACACCAGAAATCACGAGCTTGGGCCCCCATTGTACATCCTCTCCAGGCCTCTAGAAGACCCGGGCATAACCCACTGAACCCCAAGCAAAATCATCATCAAAACCTAACAGTTCCTAGCTAGTGGGCAAAGCAAAAGAAGATGATCCCTCCTTGTTTCTCAATCACATGCTGCAACAGTTGACCACAACCTGTCTCCTCCTCAAGCACATGCCGCAACAGTTGACCACAACTTGTCTCCTCAAGCACATGTTGCAACAGATGACCATAACCTATCTCCTCCTCCTAAGATTATCATGGGTCAAAATCTTCCCCAATACAGATGTCCAAGCGAAGAATTCCACTTTGAGAGGGGCCTCAGAATGCCAAATAGCTTTCCAAGGGAATGAATCCCCTGGAACATCCATAAGACACCTATAGAAAGACCAAACCTCAAAACGACCAGAGGAAGAAGGAACCCAAACCACAGAATCAGGAACTCCATCCACAGTCTCCTGGCGATGAAATAAGTCCAAAAAGCCAATGGCATCCACAATCTCCCAATCCTGAAAGTTCCTCAAAAAGCGCACAGCCCAGGACGTTCTCCCACCACTATCAAGGTGATAGCAATCAAACACCAAGGTGCATCTGTTCGTGGCACTCCTAAAGAGTCTGGGAAAATGGAGGGCAAGAGAACGATTAACACACCAGATATCCTCCCAAAAACAAACCTGTTGCCATCCCCAACTCGAAACCTGATGTGTTTCGGATGAATTTCCATATCCCATTCCATTTTTGTTTGCACCAAAATATGTTTAGCCTATCAAAAACCCGTAGCAATATATTTTTTCACTTTCCTGCTACCCCTTTTATATAATAAATTAATTATTTTCTTAAAATTTGATATTTTGGAAGAAGGAAAAAAAAGTGAGATGTCCATGCATTAATTGCCTTACCTTAATAATAAGATTCTATAAAACTATTAGAAACACACTAATTTAATATCTTTTATCTTTTCTTCTTTTTTTACTCTTATTCTTTTCTTTTCTTCTTTTTTTTCTCTTAGGCTCCGTTTAGTTAGATGGAAATAGCAAGAAAAGAAAAGAAATGGAAAATGAAAAGAAAATTGATTTTCTAGTATGTATTTGGTTAGGATGAAAATTTACTCAAGAAAATTGTAGGAAAATATCATATTATAGTTTGGATACCTAAATTGCCCTAATTTTATAAAAATAATAAAATAATAAAGAATTAGTAATAAAATATATTTGAAAAATGATAAAATTTTCAATTAATTTAGACCTTCCAAACTACTATTATTTTTATATGATGAAAAACAACAAGAATGGAAGACAAGTTAATTAAAACTTTATTAATGATAAAGTTGTTGTAGGTGGACTCTAATTCTTTGAAATAAAAAATTGTTGTTATCTCCAAATATAGATGAAGTTGTTGGGTAAACTAATATACCAATGAAGTTGTTGAGTAAAATAGGACCACTAAATAAAAAGACGATGCTTTCATGGGAAAATAAAATTTCCCCGTGTTTTGTGTAGGAAACATTTCGGAGAAAATAAAGGGTTACAAGAATCTTAATTTTTTAGAACTTTTCCTTTTCTATCTAACCAAACTACAAAAAAAAAAAAAAAAAAAAAAAAAAATTAAAATTAAAATTTTCTATTTCCTTTCTTTTCCGGTTGATTCTATCTAACCAAACAAAGCCTTATTCTTTTCTTTTCTTTTCTTTTTTTAATAAGTGAGGGTGTGTAACGCTCCTGAATCCCTTTGGATACCTGCAATCACCCCCACACAAAGGATATCGTGTAAACCCAGGGAAAATGTTTTCGACACCCCCAGAAAATAAACACAAGACTCTAGGTCATGCTTAGAAACCTTATGTCAACTCAACTATCCCATGGAGTTACTAATAAAATAATTTTCACAATCATTTATGACAAACTTATTCACATTAATTATAAGAATAGCGAACTAGAATCATCTCAAAGATTTGGAAAATATGTACTATAAAATGCCAAAAGGAAACATGAGTTGAAGTAAAGCATTTAGAAGTTGATAAATATATATTTTTTAGGAAGTCAGCCTTCCATCATTCTCAATAAATTAAAAACAATATGCTAACAGATTCAAAACATTCCTAATAAAAAAAAAAAATAACTGCAGAGAATAGGATAGTCACCATAACTAAATCAGCCATTTATCATAAGTTGTAGATAACACCAAAATTTGACATGAAGGTTTCTGAGTGAAATGATATTGGAGGACAATATTATTTGGAAATTTAATAGTTCATCTTTATAATCAGAGTATTAGACTTCTCAATTCCCTGTGAATGCAGCTTTTCAGTCATACTACCTCCATACCTTATGTCACTTGCACACCAAGCACAAGGATATAACAGCACGGTTATAGTTACTGATTGGACAGATAGCATAAGGGAGTTCAGAAACCAAAATGCTCCAGAATTAGTGAACACATTCCTACCAACAAAAATGGCACTATATACTCACCACTGTGATGACGTTGATAACTTGCTTGTAATAGAAGATCTTGATATAAATTGAGGTTGAACTCCCCATCGAGCCACCCATGTACTTCCAAAAGGTATAATTGCTGTACTTCCACAAGGTATAATCGCCATCCAATAGAGTCTATACAGAAGAGTCCCGATTTGTTAAAAAAAGTTGCAATTTTTAGACCTTTTGCAAGATGAAAATGTACCTATAAGTGATAAAGGTGCTCTGCTAAAAATAAATAGGAAAACAAAATATCTTGACCCATGCAGCCTACACACACTACTTGAACCATGTATCAAGAGTTCAGGCCCAAATACTAATCAATAAAATGAATATATCGTGATACAACAAGTATTCTGAGACATATCAAAAATCCATAATGTGTGAAATCAATGCACTTAAGCTTGTTGACGCTTTATGTTTGGATATATAACAAATGATATGGGAGAAGGGGCATGATCAGGTTTACAAATGACAATGGAATTTCAATAATCAATTTATTGGATGATTATCACATGATCACAATGAATCATATAATTGTTTGCCCCAATTAATCTCGACACAATCACTAGGCCAAGTTAAGTTTACAATAACAAATATCAGAGCCAGAGACACATCCCAAAGGGTAAATTTAAGAAGACCCCATATGTGGATGACTGGCCCTTTTTATTCACAATATATATATATATATATATATATATATATATATATATATATATATATATGTGTGCCATGGAGAGATTTTCAGGTTTTTCATTGATTATTGTTCTTATACAGTTTGAACTAACCATGGGGTATCAGGAATCAAAATTTGGATATTTATAGATGAGGGATAATAAAAATTTCCTTGTCTTTCCCTTCTATCCACTAATAGAACAAAAAATAATAAACTCCTCCATTCTTTTTCTGTTCAATCAAAACAAAAATGAGTAATTCTAATTCTAAATTCTAGAAGGTTGAATAAAAAAATTCAATCAAACATTTAATATAATTGTTATGCTTAGTGTGTGACTCCTAAAATTATGGTATCATGGAGACATTTTCAGGTTTTTCCGAAAGAGACCCAATTTTGATATTCCTATGTGTCATTTGTAAAATATACATCATGCAATTTCAAAAGTACCCATTTTCCTAGAAACTATATCCAGTGGTTTGGTAAAATTCCTTCTTAACAATAGACCCTAATTGGTCCCGGTGTAAGAAAACTAACTACTCCATTGATTAAGGGTTTGTTGCCTTGTGCATTTAGGAGTTCCAAAAAGGAGATATTTCCAGGGAAATGTATCCAATCCCCATTTTCCAAGGAAAAAGACATGGTCCGGATAAGCACAACACTCAATACGCATACTACACCAATCGAGACTGACAAAAATCGTGAATTTTAATGCAATTAGTATAACAAAACAGAAAAGGATACATATACATATAAATATATAGATTATGCGTCTGCGTTTGATTATAAAGAATATATGAATGCATATATAGAAGAGAGGGCGTTGAAGTGTATCGAATTTGTGGAACTCTACGAATGGAAAGTGATTCAAATCGATGACGAACCTGTTATTGTGCTTCGGAATCCTCTTTACTGTTGGATTGAAGCTTTTCTCTCTCTATGCGGCGGTGGTAGGTGTAGCTGCTGGAGCAGAACAGACGCTGTGTACTGCTCTTTTCTCTGAGGTCGAAGATGAGGCTCTAGAGAGAGAGAGGGGTTTCCAGAAATATAGATACATTATATATATGACCCGATAAAAGGTTTGTGCGTCTCTAGCTTGCTGGTCCGCTGCTATTCTAACAATAATCTTCCCTGCACTCGCCAATCGTGGCCGTTCGATCTTGTTTTGTAGACGGATTATGCTGAGTTAATGGTGATTAAAGGCTAAGTGGATTGTGGAGTAATGTGCGGTTGCAAAAATGGATGTTATTGCGGCCGGTCTATTGGGTCGGATATATGCCGAAAGAAAAAGAAAATATTTGGGTCGGATATCTTCGGCGAGCTTCCACTTAACTAGGCTAATTCTCACAATTCTTTTAAAGCTTTTCTTGGTTTTCGTTCATGCTTAAATTTGACGGTTTTAATACACTCGTTGATACTTTTATGCGACTTGGGATTCGACTTGGATTATGATGAAGAATTTTGCTTAAACTCTCAACTTGCTCTTTCTTGTGTTGGTACAAAATCACTCAATAATTAAAGCACTCACAATTCTCACACAATTATCCTTCAATTGTCTCTCACAAAAGCTCCACTCACTTTTGCATACCATACATTCTAAAATGTGATCAGGGTTGGTATGGATAGTCTCAATCAAAGGAACACAACTCGCCCCACAATTTTAGCCTTTCGAAGAATAAATAAAACTAACTTGAAACTAATTTTCACAAATTCCCAACACAAATGAACTTGTTCAGGAAAAAGTTGAAATGATTTAATTAGGGTTCTAAAATTGAAATTTAGCACATATCAAGAAAAGTAAGATTAATCGGATTTCTCTAAAAGTCAAAAATCGGAATTCTCGAATTATGTGACCGATCAAAAATAAAACAACCGGTTGACTTTCTCATATTTTAAAAAAAAACCCAACTATGAAAATTGGATAGGTAGTAAAAAGTGCAACTGGTCGGACTTTTATGGAAAACAAAATTTTGCTAAAACAAAATATCTTTCCAAATCCTAAGCTCCTAACCCACAAAACTTGAAATATAAAATGTCCTCACCCACATATCTGTTTTAAGTGATATACACACTTGCAATTCAAACCCGACGACGAGACACAAGATTAAAACAAAAAGTATGACTCGATCAAGACAATGATATTTGACAAAGCTAAAACTAAATACCTCAAAACACAATTTTTTGATAAAATTGCTTAGGTTGAGTTGAGTCACTCCACCAAGCTTTAGCAAAAAGATGTTTTACACAGTAATTTTAGGAAAGTTGATCGACATAGTGATAATAAGAGCTCAACACTCATATTAGCTAATGTGTCATTATTATAGTCTTGTGAGAGTAAATCCTTTATTTGTCATGTTAAATAGCTCAAAATATATGTCCCTTTTCCATTCAGGTACAAAGCCAAATAAGCTTGGCTTAAAACTTGGAATGGGTATTGGGTTTTCACCTTAATAAAAAGGAAAACAAATGTTGGGTGCTGCTTTATTAACTGTATCATATCCATCCAAACAAGTGCTTTTGAAAGGATATTCCCAAACATTATAAAAGGCAAGCATTTTGTTCTCAATTAGCTCATCTCCAATTAACAAAGTAAATTGGCATAATTTTTGGCCTTTAAAAAAAAAAAAAAAAAAAAAAAAAAAAAAAAAAAAAAAAAAAAAAGAAGGAGAATGGGCAATTCATGATTCTAGATTTCCCAACATGCTTAAACAACAAAATTTTTTTTTTTTTAAAAAAATATGATTATAAAACCAAAAGGAAGCACCAAAAATAATTAGTCGAAGTATTGGACACCTTTAGATTTCAATGTATCAAGTGAAACCTTCGTTTCGGTTAAAGTAACACCACTCAGAAATTTAAAAACAAAAAAAAAAATGCACTTACCAATTTAAAGTTTTTAAACAATTCTTTGTAGCACGTTTACTATCAAAATTTCAAGCTTTTGTAAAAGTTGCTGGGCACAAGAACACTCGCATCCAACATTGCAACTCAAGACAAACACCCACTATGTTCAAGCTCTATTTTAGCAACTTAGGGGGAGGTAACTGTTTCCAATTTCGTTTTCACAGGAGTAAATGTCATTTTTGAAACCATAGGGGCCATGGTTTGTGTTCTTTAGCAAAACTTCATGGAATCACAATGTAATTCATGGTAATGCATGTGATAAGGCATTCACCTCACATCTTGAAGGTAAAGTTCGAATGTAGACTCATGACATCCGTAGCCTATCAATGCTCGCCCATATCACACCCACTCACAGAGGTCTTCAGAGGGACAGTGGCCCTTACTGATACTTTTGTACCCTATCTGCATATATAAAACAATCATCTCATACTTGACAATATAAGCAGGATTTGTGTATTTAAAAGGTGAAATTTTGATTAACTTTAAGCCTTTAAGTGGATAGGTGTTACAAGGGAGATTTGTTCAACATCGGATCTAGATAGGAGAGTAATTAGGTATAAATGGGTAGGTATGCAGTACTACCCAATAACTTAAGTTTTTGAGTAAATGGATAAGCGTCCACTCGTTACAGTTACTATCAAAGCCAAACCTAATCATTGATCCAATATCACGCCAAGCACCCAACCCCGAAGGCATCTGGGTGTGCCACTTGGGTAGGCAGGGTGGCCCAACTGCAACTAGGACGTTGCGAGTTCGGGTGAGGGAGAATGTTACAAGGGGAGATTTGTCCCATGTCGGATCCCGCACTACCCAACAACTTAAGCTTTTTGATATAAATGGGTGGATATGTAGTATCCAACATTTTAAGCTTTAAAGTAAATGGGTAAACGTCTACCCGTTACAATAGAGAAGTACAATTGTTTATTTTCCTTGAAAGTGAATAAAATTGTAGTTATAAGCACTTTATTTATTTATTTATTTATTTTATTGACAAGAAACTCACATAACCATTTTTCTCCTTTGTAAATTCAAACCTTCAACATCAATTTTAGAAGGGAAAAGAGATACTAATAGGCCCATGGTAATAAGCTCATTGAATAGTGTTTGGAGTATTAAAATTGATGAGAAGGCTAAGAAGCATGTTTTGAGAGAGAGAGAGAGAGAGTAAGAAGAATATTTCAAACCATCTCCAATGCTAAAAATTATTTTCGCATACCAAATCTATATTTTGACATGTGCTATAGTGTCAAAATGCTACATTTTAATAATTCTGCTCCAATGGTGCATTTTATGCAAAATACTATTTTTTTACACAACCACTATTCTTTTTCAACTACCATTCCCACCATTCATATTTGTATCAGTAATATTAATATTAGGCACATTCCAAGTCAAGTTGTAGACATTAGAAGGAAACGAAAATTAAACATAATTAAAAAGAAGCAAAAATCTAAAATATCTGGTAAAAAAAAAAAAAAAAAAGACAAATTTTTTATAATTATTTATCACTATTTGTGAATTAATTTATATATATATATATTTATATATATATATATATATTTTTTTTTTCTTTTTCGAAAATTTATATATATATTATATATATATATATATATATGTATATTATATATATTTGATTATATTATTATTAAAAATATATATTTTTAGGGCAAATCATTTCAGCCTCCCCAATCGCCTCCATCTCTATTCTCGTTCTCAACTTTGAGAACTTGCCCTCTCTCTCTCTCTACAACTGCAAACTACAAAATTTACAAGAATCAGAAGTTCAAAACCCATATATTTCAGTTTATCTATCTGTTTACAAGAATCCAAAGTTCAAAACCTATTCCCTATATCAAAACCTATATCGGCATATCATTTCAGATTGTTCAAAAAATCAAAACCCATATCTTTCAGTTTCCATCGCCCGCTGTTCCAGTTCGGGTTCGCCATTCGCAAGCTTCAGTCGTTGTCTCTCAACTCTCAAGCTCCCCCCCCCCCCCCCCTTCTCTCTGCAACTGCTAATCAAGGTCTGTAGGGGAAAAGAAAATACAAAAATCAAACAACAGAAGCAGGAGGTGGTGTTCGTCGCCTTTAAGCACCGGTCGTCGTCGAGAATGGCCGGTCGTTGCAGCTGATATAAGAGAGAGAGAGAGAGAGAGACGGCATGGCAACAAAATAAGGCAAATAGCTATTGCTATTTGTTTTGTTAGATTTGGCACAAAAAATGGCAAAGACAAATTTTGGCAGGCCATATAGCAGCCCATTGCAAAGCCCAATTTTAACCCACCTACTATATTTTAAATTGACAACCCATATGATAGACCCATTGAAAATGCTCTTAATAGTTATTTTATACCTATAGTACCAAATTTTCGTTCTTTCATTTATTTTTTGTTTTGTGTACGTTTCTTTTTCATGATCTTTTAGCTTTTATGATTTTATCTACAAAGTACATAAATTTATTTATATATATAATTGTTAAAGTGTTTATCTATACATATTTATGTTTAGAGAATTATTTATTTTGAATATGAGAGTAATCTTTCAAATTTGTGCATAGTAGGGCAATGACATCATAACCTATTCTGCTTCTTTCCTACTCATAGTTTGGATGGATTTTAAGGTAGAGCTCGGGCTTGGAGGTTTGGTCTCCTTGCCTTTTCTGTTTGCGTCATTAAGTTGTTTGTCCATTTGAACTATATACCTATTTATAATATTCTACGAGGAACTTTAACAAAAACCGACCTTGGCTCAGTTGGTAGAGAGGACTGTAGTAGCTATAACCTGTAAGCCATCCTTAGGTCGCTGGTTCGAATCGGGCCAGTCGGATTTTATTTCATTTTATTATTATTATTTTTTTCATACGAGTAAATAAAAGAAAAAGGGTTAGTCACTTTTGTATAAAGATTTATTATTCTGTTTGGCTTTTATTTATAAAATTTTAAAGATTTATTATTCTGTTTTGCTTTTATTTATAAAATTTTGAAAGCTGCATGACTTGGTGATGAGTTAATAATGCAGTTCTCTCTTGTCAAAATAAAAATAAAAATAAAAATAAAAAAGTAGTTCTCATCTCTATTTAAGATATATGCACCAAGGAGGGTGAGAATTATTATTTCACCATGAACTCCACATTGTTGGT